TAAAATGTCGACACATGAAATAGATACACTAAATCATCAACTCTATAAATTCACTGATGAATATAACAAGCGGAAATGTTAGTGAAAGCCAAGATACTCCTTCGATGATTTCTAAACTAGAATTGAAGTCCAAACCGAGCAAATGCTAATATTAGAAGCGACCAAACCCACTGATATACAGAATAAGTTAAAAACAGGTACCATTAAAAATACTAAAAATGATCATAATGGTGAAAAACCAAGGCAGAAATTAAAATTTAATCCAAAAAATTAAGTCCAAAATTAAGATGCCATCAAACCATCAAAATGACCACATTGCATCTGGAGTAGAAAAATATAATAGTACAATAACGTCATTTCTAAGGGCGATATAGTGAAATATTGGACCAAGGGCCGAAGGCCCAAGGTCCAATATTTCACTATATCGCTCGCAGAAATGACGTTATTAGTATTATTACCACCGTTAACGACCAGGACTGAAACAGCAAGAAAATCTTACGCATTGAACGATATTTAATTTCCCGGGGAAAATTGCCGGTCCAGAATATATTCTAGACCGGTCCATATGGACCACCACTATGACGTCACACATTTCTCAGGTCGATATAGTAAAATAAACGCCTTCTAAACTAGCACTAAAACCCCTAGAACTGGCCCGGCAAGGTGGTAATAATATGATATAGAATAAATTGAAATAGAACACGACAATGTGCCGTCTACAGCTTTGAATTCACATGTAAACACTGCTGGGGCACAACTAGAACTTGGCCATTTCTAATGCTGTATCTTAGCATCAATATGCCCAGTCTAGAGTCTAGAGTACTTCAAGTCAAGTCTGTAGTCAAGAGTTTTTAGCCACATTTGAATATATAAGCTGATCGGGGCTTAGCAGTAGGGCGGTATTGAGCCATTTTTGAGCCGCCATTTCCGACACCATATATAGAGGGCTTTTGCTATCCCTGAGATGAGGGCTATATCATCAGCTTAGAGTAAAATGCGAACCATTTCATCTCCGACTTGAACACCACATCCGAATTGTCTGATTATGCCGACATAGGTCTGAGATAATGTCGGACTCAAAAATCACTCCTGCTTGAACAATTGCTGACATAAATCAATGGTGTTAAATCTCCATTAAGACGTACTCAGCATGTGACACCTTGATATATGGATATTATCGCATCAACGATTTTACCTTAAACACCAATTTTGTTTAGTTTAAACCATAGGCAGCTTTTACTAATTTATCAAAAGCTTTGACTGCGTCAAAATAACAAACAAAAGTGTCGAGTTCAAATACTTTGCAATTGTTAATGATACTGTGAATACGTTGGACATGGTCAAGGTATCCTCTTTTTGTACATCCAACTCTTGCCCTTAACTACAAAGCAAATGATACCTCCCCACAAAATACAATGAATTTTAAAATACAAAATTGGTCACCTCTCTGTGAAATGTTATTAAATTGACTTTTTGAAGTCATGTGACATTACAGTTTTGACGAACCACGGTACGAAGTTATTCTGGCACCAAATCTAAAAGTTGCAAACTTCAACAAATGCTGAACCAAAGTAGAAATAAACATTAGTTTCACATTCACACGCATTTCATTCAATAACAATAGATATTCGTATAATCGATTTAACTTCATAAATACAAATACAAGAAATTAATTGAAATACATGTATTAGGCTGGAAATCGGTAACTTGAAATATTAACCAGTAATCATGTAGCATCATTACACACACGTTAAAAAGACTAAGGCTGCGTTTTTGAACTGCCCGCGGTGCTAGTGAAATGGATAATATTCGATAAGTTTAAATATGAGTTAATAACATTTAATATTTAATAAGTTTTCCCCAAGGTATCACGAAAAAGAGCCGAAGATGTGCAAATTACAATATTTTTGTTGAATATATGCGACCATGTAATGATCGCTGCAGGGGTTCCTTTTCGTGATACCTTAGGAGAAACTCCATTGAAATGTTACGCAATAGCAACACGGGCAGGTAAAAAACGCAGTCTCAATCCCCAGACGTTGCTGTAGTCTTATAATCATATAATTTACATACTTTCACAAGCATTTCAGCTCAATTGATTCACTCACTTAACTGCAAGTGGTGAAATGGAAGATATACAAGAGTGAATAAGTCGTTCTTGAGGCCAGGATCTTATTTTTATTTACAGGAAAGTTCAATATCAATCTATCACAATGACATTTGTTTCCTTTAATTATCAAAAATCATATAATTCATTTTGAGATAAAAATGAAAGCTTCCTGTTGTAAAAACGTCAAAATAAGTATTTTCCTGTATATTTGTTAAACTATGTATGGTAAACGTCATTAATTAGGATAGCAAAAAAACTTTCCATTGCAAGACAAACGAATGGCATATAGCCACTATACGTGATATAAAAACGTGAAATGCATAGTGATGTTAGAGTATGTAGAAAGGTTCAGGTCATCTTAGAAGTTTAAAGAATTTGAAGTAAAATAAAACTATATTAATATGTACAATGCTATAAGAATTGAATCTATACGTGTATGCACAAATGCAAAAGGACAATGTGAAATGGTACCTGTGAAGTGTAGCCAATAGAAAATAGATTTAAACGACTCAATTAGACATTTGAAAAACTCTAAACAGTGTACAAAGTTAAAATTGTAAATATAAACGAGCCCTGTTAGATAAATACAGGTGAGTTGTTTTTTAAATATATGTCTGTTCATGAAAATATATAAGAGTTAGACTACTTGACTCTTAATATTTCTGCTATTCGAAACCTTTTTCAGGGAGAAAGAAGGAAGAAATCCCGGTCAAGGAGTGGATGCATGTAACAGTTAATTAAACATGACGGGATTATTATGTCACGGATGGCGAATTCGTTGAATAAAATGTTCAACACACGCTGTTTGGAAAAATTGCTTAAAAAGCTGACATAAGTGATTCTTTCATTGATGTAGGATATTTCTACATATACGAGTATAATCATTATATGTATAATACTGTTTTGGCAATTCGAGTTTGTTACAGATCGTCTGTATAGTTTGCAGGCTTATTTCGTAAGAAAATACAAAAGCAGCTATTTTTGGATTTCTAGGAAGGGACATCCGTAATATAAAAGGTCAGCACATTTAAAACAAATATACTTATATCTTATTCCAGAAAAATGGCATGTGATAGTAGCTTCAAATGCAGCCTCGTTGTGATCATGCTTTGCACGTTCATCTCACCTACAACCTCACGCCAAGAACCAACGTATCATAGATATCAAGGTGTAAATGACTATGGAGATAACCAGTTTCGAATGCAAAATTTTGAGAACTTTCATACGTGTGAAATTAACAGAAGTCGCATTTATAGAAAACTAAACAATGTATAGCAAAGATACATCCTTGAACGAGGAACCTGGAAATACAATCCACCAGCGCGTGAGTACCCGTTGACCCAATTTTGTGACAAATGGTGCAATATTGATATTGGCGCGAAAATGTTAGACTGCTATGGAACGAATGGAAACTCCTTAAATGTTAAACTTCCAAACCTTTTACAGTGTATACAATATGCACCAAAAACGCTTCTTCACTCAGGATTTTACTTTCGAGACTTTCACTTTCGAACAATAAAAAATGGATACTTTAGAAGTGTGTCACGGACACATAACATAACATTTCTGATTTTGATGAGGTGCAATATTATACAAATTGAACAGAATGCATTTGCAGGGCTTAAACATCTGATAGGTCTATACATTGAAGACGTGAACGATAAAAAGGGTATTGCCCACTTAAGCCGTAACATACTCCATCATTGTCCAAAAATTAGATGCCTGGGCTTGGGAAAAGTAAAGAAACTGGACATTAATACATTTAAAGCTTTATCGAGTTTGAAAGAGTTGCATGTACGTCATAAAAGCCTTCTCAAGTATGAGCGTGCATTTAGATACATAAAGAAGCTAAACATATTGTTCTTAGATGGCATAGGTTTAAGAGAGATTCCATCATTTATTCCATCACATACACCTTGGATTCATAGTTTAATACTTGACAACAACTATGTAACAAATCTTTCTTTTAACGGATCATTCAAAACATCAAAAGATTTTTGGCTAAGTGTAAGAAACAACAAGATTACTAAGATCACCAAAGCAGAGATGTCCAAATTTAAACAGGCAGCATCGCTATGGTTTAATCTAAGAGAAAATGATGTGAGACACTTGGAAAAAGATTTTCTTGAAGACATAAAAATTTTATCGTATATCGTTTTAGAGCAAAATATTCACTTTGGAAACACAAATTTCTTCAATTTAATAGACAATTTAAAAAACAAAACAAAAATTTTAAATTTGAATGTCATTGCATGCGGCCTTGTAATAGTAAAATTTGATTCATCGATTTTGAAATCGTTAGAAGGGTCTAAGTTAGAAACGCTGTGGATTGGAGACAATATTATAGATGTTATTGAACCTGATGCTTTTGAACCAGTAAAAGATTTACAAAAACTACAGACCTCTAACGTAATGCGATTTTCCTCTGGGTGCTTCAAGCCTCTCCGGAAAATAAAAGAACTTTACATATATGGAATGCAGACTTTATATAGAAAAGGGGAATTAGACATTATCAATCTTAATGGTTTACAAACATTAGAATATCTAACAATAAGTAAAGTTGATCCTACTAGAACGTCGTTTCTATTTGGTAAACTAAATCTGTCCCTCCAACTGAGTATATATGATATGTCTGAATCGTTTGATCGCCTCAAATTTCAAGTTCTTCAACTTCTAATAAATCGAAAATCATTTGAGACTATTTATTTACCAGGGAATCTGCTATTTCGCTACAGCGACATTGACTTGTGTGCAATGTTCAGTAACATTGTCATCGAAGATCTATATTTGTCAAATAATTACTTTGCTAAACTCCCTACATGCATGTTCTATAAATCATACATAACATTATTAAACTTGACATACAACAGGTTAACACATATTCAAAGTGGTTTATTTGAGATACAAAACTTACGATACCTAATTCTATACGAAAATTCTATTCATCTCATCGATGGCAATGCTTTAACAAACCTTCACCCATTTTCTAAAATCCTTATTGAAAACAATAAGCTGCAATGTAATTGTTATATGATGCCATTTATAGAATGGTTACTGAATCGTCCTGACAGTGAACGGGGTATTACTGTGATGCATGATGAATTTTGTGCAGCACCAGAAAAACGAGAACATGAGAAGATAATCAAGGTAAATATACCATGGGTGGAATGTAATAGAGATCTGTTCATTAATAGGTGTATCCTCTGTGGAACTGCTTTGGTGCTAGTCATTGTCCTTGTAATTGGATTGGTAAAGTATCTTTGGAAGGATATCAAATACAGACAAATGGTACGAAGAGCTAGAAAACACAATGGATACATTCCTATAGACGGCTTTGAAAGTGAAATATATGACGCATTCGTCAGTTACCACCCAGAGAAGAGAATCTGGGTACAAGATGTTATGACGCCTGAATTAGGAAAAGGAGACTTAGAATTCACATTGATGTATGACATTAATATTCTTCCCACTGGAAGTGAATCTTATTTCAGTGGTATATTCACACACATGGACCGTAGTCGACACGTTATCTTTCTCGTGACGCGAGGTTGGATGAAAGAGGGCATGAATGAATTTGAGATGGAAGCTGCAATAGATTTACTTAAACAAAGCAAGAGGCATACGCTCATAGTGATAATGATGGAGAACATACCACAGAAGGAGATGTCAGAGACTTTGAAACTGATGGTAAGAAACAACTTCTGTCTGAAGTGGAGTGAGAATGAGAAAGAACAAAGACATTTTTGGAGAGATCTCAAGTTGGAGCTTGGTAAGAAAAAGTACATGAATTAACATTAATACCAGCGTTCACAATTATACGATGAATGCATGAATGAATTACTGTCAGTATGCTATGTATAAAATGTACAAGGGTACATTTCAAAGAAAATATATATATTATGCTTTAGTGATGTGATATCCGATGGAGTATAACAATAAATATGAATTATATACATAATTAAGATTTTATTTGTTATTAAGTATTTTATATTAAATTTTTAATCATCCTACATTTCACAATTTGGACTTATTATATCTCACTGTGTATGTTTGTTGTTTTAATATGAAATATCTCTTTTTGTGCAAAGTAGGCCTTACCCGTAACTTTCTTTATGGATTCTTGAAATTTATTCTGATACCTGAACATTTTCAAGTAGAATGACAGTTTTTTATTACATTTGGTCACGTTTGATTGCGTATTTTTATGAATGGCCTTTTGACAATTGAAAACAGGAACACACTAAATTTGATGATAACACGAAAACTTTCCTATTAGAAGATATAGTCCCTGATCTGGACCCTCTGAAAAAAAGTTTTGTTGTCCGGTACTTTCCCACATAAAATGATTGTACCATTTGAAAGAAAAGACTTCCCTCTTAAAGAAAACACCTCTTCTATTGATGTAAACAGGGGCAAAAGGCACCAAAACGGGGTTAGACAAAGTGGCATTCTGAAGTCTCACTTTCTTGTCATCACGATTCCAGGTAAACCATCAGACAGATTTACTTCAAATTTTCACACATGTTACATGGTAAGAAGTTTTAGAGCTGATTAACTTTGCGGTGGCCATCTTGCATTCTGGCAGCCATCTTGGAAGTTTAAAGATAAATCTTGTCATCACGATTTCAGGAAATCTTGCATTCTGGCGGCCATCTTGGAATTTTTTTCAGATAAATATTATCATCGCGATTCCACAAAAACCACATAACAGATGTACTTCAAATGTTCACACATGTTACATGGTAAATAGTCCTAGACCTCATTATTTTTTCGGTGGCCATCTTGCATTCTGGCAGCCATCTTGGAAGTTTTAAGATAAATCTTGTCATCACGATTTCAGGAAATTCAAACGGATTTACTTCAAATTTCCACACATGTTACATGGTAAGAAAATATAGAGGTGAATAACTTTTCGGCAGCCATCTTGCATTCTGGCGGCCATCTTGGATATTTTGGGATAAATCTTGTCATCGTGATCCAGGAAATCAATCTAACAGATTAACTTCAAATGTTCACACATGTTACATGGTATGAAGTTCTAGAGCTGATTAACTTTTCGGTGGCCATGTTGCATTCCGTCGGCCATCTTGGAAGTTTTTAGATAAATCTTGTCATCACGATTCCATGAAAACCACGTAACAGTTTCACTTCAAATTTTCACACATGTTACATGGTAAGAAGTTATAGAGCTGATTAACTTTCCGATGGCCATCTTGCATTCTGGTGGCCATCTTGGAAGTTTGTAGATAAATCTTGTCATCACGATTCCAGAAAAACCACTTTACAGATTTGCTTCAAATTTTCACACTTTATACATTTACATTCACAATGGTTCCTTCCTGGTATATTTTTTTAGGTTTTATGACTGTTAAATTCTATAGTCTAGTTAACACCACTTTATAAACAGGTGTATTATTACTGGTGTAACTAACACAACGAAAAGAATATAATTAATTTATTTGATTTTATATAACATGAAATTATTTTTTCTTTTCGATAAAACATTGCTTATTAGAAATATATTTAGTTGAAAACTTAGAGTAAACAATCAGTTCTTCTATCACAAAGTTTATTTTGGTTCAGTATATTTTTCTATACATTATTTTTACTAGTGATTGGGTGACATATTGTAATAGCTTCGAACGTTTATCTTGACACTGTTCAGTAGTTTTTTTTTGTTTTTTTTTAAATTCATTTCTATCATTCATTAGCATACAAATCAATATTTCAAAATGAAATATTTCAAAAACTTTAAATACATTTTCTCAATCAACAATGTTTCTAACATATTTTTCATATTCAAACATTACAGATATATTTTTTCTCTCATTCTTTGAAAACTTAAAGTCATGTATAGTTTTCTTTATTACAAGTGACTTGAATAATAACTTTTTATCTAATATTCATATCCCTATTTTTTCATTATCCTTCAAAGCTACATCTTTCCAAATATTTTTAATTGCATTACAATGTATAAAAAAGTGTTCAACATTATCAACTTCGTTACATAGTTTACATAAATCAGATTGTTCTATGTTATATTTTTTTAATAAACCACCATGTGGATATATACCATGGAAAATTCTCCATTGGATACTTAAAAGACCAGTGTCTGACGTACATTTAAATAGCTGATTCCAAATGTCTGAACCAATAGTCAAACCATTAAATTGTACATCACACTGCCTTTCTTTTACAAGCTTATTCCTGGTTTTCTGTGATGTTAATTTTTCAAATTCTATCCCTCGAAATACAAGTGTTTCACTGGGTTTTATATTACCATACATATGAATTTTCTCTTGATTTAAACAAGCTCTTAAAATGTTATATTGCATTAAAGTTTCAGATTTTTTCCTATTAATTCAGAAATTACCTCATATGGTTTTAAGTGTCCATTCACAACAACATCTGATATGTAGATTAAACCCTTTTCTATCCACTTGTGAAAGTACAAGGGATATCTACTTAATACAATATTTCTGTTATTCCATATTATAGATTCATCTGTATAATTGCTATTCTCAAGCCATGTAAATAATAATTTTTTATAGAAAATGCTCAAATGAGCTATACCTTTCAACTGATCAGCACTTATATTGCTGTTGAGAACACTAAACTTTTTACCTAATTTTCCATACATATACTCTGGTATAGCTCTCCAGTGGCCATCGCCATTCTCTGTTAATCTTTTAATCCATTGAATCATGTATGCAATTTGTAAGTCTTTACAGTTAATCATTTTTAAACCACCACAATCATAGCCTTGTACTAAAATATCTCTTTTTACTTTATCAGGCACCTTTTTAAGGTCTTCCTCTTTGAATTTTCCTTTTGCCCATATGCACTTTAACATCATGGTGTTAATTCTATCACTGTTCAGTAGTTAATGTGTACTGTATACTTAACAAGGTGTGGTGACATTTTGCATGTTTCTGCATCGTCACTAATATTGAAAGCTTATGTTGATATTGTAGCAGTGTTTTTTAAGTTCTTTTTGTTGGTATAATTAGTTTCCAAACCCTATACTTATATCAATCTGACACACAGTTTTAGTGCAGGTTTAAGTGATTTTTGTTGATTATTAAACGCAAAGAGCATATGTGTCTCAAACTCGCAACATTGTGGATACAGAGCCCATTCACATAGTTTGACATGCTGATGCTCTGAACCAGCTCATTAGTTAATATCTGACTAAGAGACAGCTTGCTTTCGCGATGAAGAAACGTTATCTGCAGCTTTTATGAGAGTACTATAGTATCTACAACTATTTCTATTTTTGATCTTATGAGTATTGGATATCATTATTTTCAGTTGTGGTCGTTGATGAGGAATTGGTCATTGAACGGTGTGGATGCTGTTTATTCCCATATTAGATTATTGTCTTGGGATATTCAGGTTTGATTTTTGTTTGCCAGTTTTACACTTTACAATTTGCTTTTCCCACTAGGTTGCTCTACACTTTTTTCCTTTCTCATTTGTCATTTTTGTTTATATTTAGTAAAGATATGATACGCAGGTCTCTCCTTCTGTGTGATCACCTGTCCAGAAGACAATTCGAATGCATGAAGAACATTTCGTTGACATGATGCACAGTGAAAGGTTTTCCACACATTTACATTTTCGTTTAAAAGAGCTTTAATTCCGTTATATACTCAGATCAAGGCCAATTTAGCATACATTTCGCTCTCAAAAATCGCTGTGCAATAATGGATTTCAAAGAAATGTTTGACGTTTTCAATAATCTTTTTTCTTTTTGATGAAATGTAGTTATTTATTCTAAAAATTAATCGATGTCATACACAAAATGCATTTAAGTGGTATAATGTGCAGAGTAAAAAGATGTATTTTAGAATATCACCATGTGTTACCCCATTGTAGCGCCTCTTGCCCATGTTTCTATCAATATAAAACATGATATCATACACCAAATATGCATTTATGTCAAATTATGTGGTTTAAAATACAGAAAAATAGATAACATTCTCCCTAGAATACCACCTTGTGTAACCCCACTTTACTGCCTTTTGCCCCTGTTTATATCAATATAAAAGGTAGCATGTAACCTTTCTTGTAACATGTGTAAAAGTTTCAAGAAAATCAGTAAAGTGGTTTTCCTGGAATCACAATGACAAGATTTATCCAAAAAAACTTCCAAGATGGCCGCCAGAATGCAAGATGGCCACCGAAAGGTTAATTAGCTCTGAACTTCTTACCATGTAATATGTGTGAAAATTTGAAGTAAATCCGTTTGGTTTTCCTGAAATCGTGATGACAAGATTTATCTTTAAACTTCCAAGATGGCTGCCAGAATGCAGGATGGCCACCGAAAAAATAATGAGGTCTAGGACTTTTTACCATGTAACATGTGTGAACATTTGAAGTACATCTGTTATGTGATTTTTGTGGAATCGCGATGACAATATTTATCTGAAAAAAATTCCAAGATGGCTGCCAGAATGCAAGATAGCCGCCGCAAAGTTAATCAGCTCTAGAACTTCTTACCATGTAACATGTGTGAAAACTTTAAGTAAATCCGTCTGATAGTTTACCTGGAATCGTGATGACAAGAAAGTGAGACTTCAGAATGCCACCTTGTCTAACCCCGTTTTGGTGCCTTTTGCCCCTGTTTACATCAATAGAAGAGGTGTTTTCTTTAAGAGGGAAGTCTGTTCTTTCAAACGGTACAATCATTTTATGTGAGAAAGTACCGGACAACAAAACCCCTTTTCTAGAGCCCTTTTGGAAATCAGATCGGGGACTAATACTTTCTCGAGGATAATAAGGATAGAAAAATATGTCAACAAATGAGGATTTCATATCTCAATAAAGACTTATCATAACAATAAATATATATAAGCGCAAATGCGAAAGGGAAGGGTGACTCAAAACTTTAAAGAAACCCAACAAGAAAAGCAATAATCTGTCCTAAGAAAAGTAGACCCTATATATCCCAAAACCATGATCTAACGTGAAAAGAAACAATGTCTAACATCCCCCCCCCCTCCAATCCAGAACCAATATCACAATCCAGGACCAGAACACCAAAGGAAATTCCATTCATACTGAAGTCATTACAATATGATAATTGCTAATAAGTAGCAACTATGATGCTTACAAAAAATCATTGGTGTTTAATAAGATTTCCTTGAATATGATTAAGATATCGAGGAGAAAATAAAAAGGGTCGAACAAATGATGATACAAATATACTTTATTTGTGATCAGTGTAGTTTGTAATGGAATGTGTTTTTAAATATTTACAGGATGACCCAAAAAATGCCACACACTATAATTAAATGACTTTCTCAATAATGAATGAATCTTCATTATTTTTTGTGAAGATAGAGTGTTCGATGGAAAGATTGATGAACTTGTTCAACAACTTCGAGATTTTAGATCAAAAATTTTCTGAAGTTTAGATTTCTGTCATTATTTCAGTCATTTTTGGATCGCTTTCACATATGTTATCCTCAATATGTCATATCTATCGACTTTTTTTAAATAATATTTTCAAATTTGATGAACTGACTCGTTTATTGATTAATTTAAAAAAAATGACAGGTTTTCTAATTTAGATTTTCGAATGAATTTTTGTCAGAGCTTGTCTCCGCGGAAAATGAGATATCTCTTAATTTTCAAGTTGTTGATGCTATGCAAGCATATACCCGTCTTTCTTTCTTTGAACACTCTATCTACACATAGTTCATATTTGAGAAAGTCATTTCAAAAATCATAGGTGGCATTTTCGGCTCACTCTGTACAAATATTATTATATATGTAATATTATATACAATGTATCAGCTAGTTGTGAATAAGACAAAACACAATTGTCACGTGTAGGGTGTAGGGTGTACTATCTAGTAATGTTTTTTTTATATTTATCTAATTCACAGGTCGGGTGTCAAAAACTGATAGATGGTCTTGTGTTAATTGAGGAAAACCGAATCATCAATAAAACTTTCCCGAATAATAACAAGGATATCCATCAGGCTGGTGAAAACGGAAACCCTTCATTTTCCCCATATTTTTGTCATTTTATAAAATTACTCCTTGATATTTCACACATTTGTACATTTAATTTCCTACCACCCAAATATATTTCATTGCCATCAGATTAATAGTCACGATTTCAGAGCTACTTTGAACAACACGCTTCAGGTTTGGCCTTCATCGCGCTGTAGGAAACCCTGCACAGTTGTCCAGAGGTAGTTCTCATACATTCTATCTTTGCCATATCCCCCTCCCCCAGGTAGGAACACTTTGGACGACGAGTGCAGGTTCGCATACAGCGCAAGTGGCCACTTGGTAATGTTCTTTTGAGTGCTGTGGCATTATGACTATCATTCTGATGGTCATGAAATATAGTGGACTGATAGATAATTAAATTAATGTACAAATGTGTAAAACAATGTCCTAGACCCCCGTCCCCTTTCAATCGAGAGGCAATATCATAATCCAGATCCAGAACACCAAGGGACATTTCATTCAAGTCATAACAATACATGTTGAAAATAAACCTGAAAATAGGATACAGGCATTTTGGGATTTCTTTTTTGAAAAATTGTCGATGAAGTATTTTATCTGCATTTTGGTCTACTTATGAAATAATTAATTTTTAATAATAATCAATAATTGATAATAATCTTTAGACAAGAAAGTTAGTTTTATATATTTCGTTTTATGAGGTGTTCTTTATAGCTTTTAACAACCTTATGAACAATGAGCTTTTTTATAACCCATAACAATTGAGTACGGGAAAGCGGAAAAGATTATCTCTTCAGAATAATTTACGAAAGGGGAATTTCCTGTATATACATTTAACACATTAGTTCCTGTGTTTATCAATGAACTATTGAAAACTGCAAAACGAATGAAAAGTTCTCAGTTGTTAAATGGTTCAGTTAGAGTTGTCGATGCGCAGACGATTCTGCAGTCATCCGATATCGTACAAATAAACAAAAGTATCCATGATTAGGAAATTATTATGATGAGAAAAGCAAGCCTATATCTAGTGTTCTCCGGAAAAATCTGAGTAAAAAAGATTCAAAGGAATTAATTAATGGTACATATAGTTACAAGTAGATATAAACAAATAGAGACAGGTGAGTATGTATTACACAAAAAAAATCTTTGCAAGAAAAAATGTTCATCAAAAAAGCTGGCAATGTGCAGTAAATGAGCTACACTTACACGTATTCTCACACAATGTTTTGTATACGTATCTATCAGACAGTTCACGCAATTGGAAATATGAAATGAAAAAGAAATATAGAAAGAACGGTGCTATTGAAGTTCAAGAAATAATTCATCATTCCCACATACGAGTTAGGCAAGATATATCATATCCCAGGCAATCAGAACATTTTTATATTCATTGAAATTGATTACTATATACCCTCATCATTCAACTTCTGATTACTTGGTTACTGTTGACCTAGTTCTGACCAATTTACCTTTAAAACCTTTTCAAAACGGTCCTCTAATTTATTAAGTCATTGGCTTAAACGCTTTAACCAATCATTCGTGTCCGCTTGTCTTTTTAGGAAAATGGCGCGTGCATACAGTGTCATATGTAGCCTTATTGTGTATGCAATTTACAACATGCACATTTTGCAGTCAACCCAGTTCTACCCAGACAAAGACCGAAATAGTTATCACAGAAAAACATGGCCAGCTTCAAACAATAATAGGAGTGGCAGCTTTCAACAAATTGATAATAATGATAATATCAAACGTCATACTAAATATAACAAACCAATCCTTAGCAATGCAGAAGACGGTGACGTCTTTCTAAGAAAGGATGCCAATCGAGTTCATTTCTATGATGAACAGAGCAACAGATATAAAACGCATATACTTAATAGAAAAAACAATAAGTACCTAATCCTTAATAAATATGGTGCTGATCGCAAATCTGTAAAATACCAAGCTCTGAATCCATTTTGTGACAAATGGTGCAAATACATACCTGGTAGATTAATTTGTAGTGGGAATGCTTCAAAAGTCCAATTTCAAGACCTCTTAAAATGCATCAAATATGTACCAAAACCGACGTTACTCCAACAATTGGAATTTGAAAACTTCAACTTTGGAACAATACAAAGAGGAGCATTTAAGTATGCGCCACATAACGTAACTGTCTTAAAAATAAGAAGGTGCAATCTCACAAATCTTGAGCATGCCTTAAGCTCAGTGACAAAGTTGGAAATCTTAGAATTGCAAGGTATTGGATTGAAAGAAATTCCTTCATTTATACCATTATACACACCTTGGATACATAATTTAAGACTTGACGACAACTATATTACGAATCTTCATTTTAATGGATCATTCAAAACATCAAAACACTTCACACTCAGTTTAGTTAATAACAATATAACGAAAATCACCAAAGCAGAAATGGCCAAATTGAGAAACGCTGCATCGCTATCATTAAACCTAAGGAATAATGATGTGAGAGAAATTGAAACAAATTTTCTCAATGATATTAAGGAGATCAGGGAAATCAATATAATGCAGAACATTCATTTTGGGAACAAGAATTTTTTCAACTTAATGAACAACTTTAAATACACAACAATAACTGGAAGTTTGCATCTTACTGCTTGTGGTATAACGATAAGGACGTTTGATATATCAATTTTGAAGCCCCTTGAAATGTCAAATTTAAAGGAGTTGTGGTTAGAAGAGAATACGATAGAGGTTATTGACGCTAGTGCATTTGAGCCTGTAAAAGACCTTGAAGTTTTAGCGATCTCGAACGTCATGCAGTTTTCACCAGAGTGCTTCTCACCACTACATAAAATTAAAAAACTCTACATCTACGGAATGCAGAAGCGTAAAAAGCCTGGAGAGTGTGAAAATATAAATCTAAATTCATTAATTACTTTAGAAGTACTTGTGATAACTGGGGTTGATCCAACACGAACACCCTTTCAATTTAATCAACTGAATTTGAACACATTAACTCTGTTTGACTTGTCCGAATTATTTGATCACTTTAGAGATCAAGTTTATCAAATGTTGAAAAGTCGAAAATTGTATTCAACTGTAATGTTGTCCAGAAATTTACTTTTCCGGTACAGTGACATGGACTTGAGTTCAATGTTTAGTAATATTGTAATTGATGATTTAGATTTATCTGATAACTATTTTGCTCGACTTCCAATTTCCATGTTCTATAACTCAACGATTATAGAATTAGACATGAGTAAAAACAGAATAACACATATACAAAGGGGTTTATTTGAAAACATACATGATTTAAAATTTTTAGTATTATCAGAAAACGCAATTCAGTTCATCGATGGTAATGCCTTTTCACATCTTCAAGCTACTACAACAATGGACTTTTGTGTAATTACCCTTGAAAATAATATGTTACCATGCAATTGTGAGATGGAGCCATTTAGAAAATGGTTAATACATCTTTCAGGGGATGTAACAGAGATTGTGGTGAATCATGACAAGTTATGTGCAGCGCCAGAGTGGAGAGAACATGATGAACTACTGAAAGCAAAGATACCATGGATGGAATGTAATAGTGATCTATTCACAAGAATCTGTGTAGTAAGTGGAACTGCCTTAGTCTTAGTTATTGCACTTACAATAGCTTTGTTAAAGTATTTTTGGAAGGATATCAAATACAGACAAATGGTTCGAAAAGCTAGAAAGCACAATGGATACATTCCTATAGACGGTATTGAAGATGAAATATATGACGCATTCATCAGTTACCACCCAGAGAAGAGAATCTGGGTACAAGATGTCATGACGGCTGAACTAGGAAAAGGAGACTTAGAATTCACATTGATGTATGACATTAACATTCTTCCCACTGGAAATGAGTCGTATTTTGGTGGTATATTCTCACACATGGACCGTAGTCGACATGTTATCTTTCTGGTGACGCGAGGTTGGATGAAAGAGGGCATGAATGAGTTTGAGATGGAAGCTGCAATAGATTTGTTGAAACAAAGCAAAAGGCATACGCTTATCGTGATAATGATGGAGAACATACCACAGAAGGAGATGTCAGAGACTTTGAAACTGATGGTGAGAAACAACTTCTGTCTGAAGTGGAGTGAGAATGAGAAAGAACAAAGAAAATTCTGGAGAGATCTAAAACTGGAGCTTGGTAAGAAAAAATACCTGAACTAATATTCCGATCCCAATTTTTAACCTGGGCGAATTATTTTTACAAATACTTTTACTCCAGTGAAACCGTTGTAATATTCACAAATAAATGAAAATATTGCAATTTGTAAATTGGTATGAATGAATTTAGACACACGCGTCATATTAACATTCAACTCACGGTGAACACCCATATATCTATATAAAAAACATGTAACGCGTATGAATGTTGATTAATGTACTATAGATAGTGTTTCTTTTGTCGATATGCCAACGTGAAAGTACCAAAAATGGTTAGAGAACACAGCAAGAAAAATAGATTATCCAAGAATACACCTGTTATAAAGAAAACAAACCCCAATTAAACGTGAAAAGAAAAGGGGTATTATACCCCCCCCCCCTCCCCGCCATCCAAGTGCTAATATCACAATCCGAGACCATAACACCAAGCACAGACTTCTGCCAGCTTCATCCCAATTGGATCTGGCTCGGGATCTGTGACACCAAGGGACATTTCATTGATACTAAAGTCATTACAATACAATTCGAAGAATACATTTAGAATTGATAGCCAATTTGTAAGTTAGATAGAGGGGAAACCTTTAATAATTACATGCATTTTGTAAACAGTGTAAATTATTTTTTATAGATACTTATCATTTAAGAGAGATATACTTATCATTGTACATGATTATATTTATACATTATATTCTTTCACATGATTAAATTAATATGAAATTAAAACATATATTCTGCTTAAACGAGGGGTGGAGTAAAGTATTGGAGGCTTCGCTCTAACTTTGCTCAACATTTGAACAAATTTGTGTATAAGTTTCATTATAAAATAATTTATTTTATGTACCTTTCTAGATATCTTATCTATCTAGATATATATAGGGACCCTGCCACCCGGAATAGTATTTAAAAAACGCAAATCACATCACAACTGTTATTGTGAAAAATTGGAGACTTTTAAGTTATTTTATCAAAAACCAACAAAATTAGGGCGTCCAAGACTTTTGGATCACCCCTCGTAGTGATGTGATATTTCAATAAATAGTATAAAACTGTGAATATACAATAAAAACATATGCAGTTTTTTATTTATTTGGTGCCTGGTTGATCTAGTTGATGTTGTGAAACAGGGGTTGATCTTAGATTATTAGTCATGAATCCATGTCAACTATTGTCCAAGCACAATTTGCACCTATCATGTGTGGTTTTGGTGCACCTTAAATGTAAGCATGTCTTCTAACTTAATAAGTGACATCATCAAGATTGGTTGTCAAAGTACCCGGATGTGGAAACTGTGAGGTTTTATGTTTTGATGCAGCAATTAAGTATTATACTATATAAACTAGATGTTCCAGTGTTACATAGATAATGCCACAAATAAATTCTAAGAACTAATATGTTCAAGTACATGAAAAATCGCTGTTTTTAGTATCTTAATAAATGACATGAATGGCAATTGAAAAGAGGAAAATCCCAAAGTAGATTACAAAATCATTCCTGTTTCATGATACTTTCCCGAATAATAAGGATATAGGAGAGGGAACGGTTTCAACAAATGATGTTACAAATAAACTTCCTTAGTTATACATCTAGCCTCACAACGGAATGAATTAAATTTAAATTTCACAAATATTAGAGGTGTTTTTCTTTCCCCAATTCAAAAGTGTATGATATAAATTGCCGGCCTAATATAATTTGTCAAAAATTGAGGAAAACGTTAACTGACAACTTTCCTGTTTCATCGATAAAAAATTCCAAATATATAACAAGGATATCCAGTCGGCGATGGTTTCTAAGAACGAATGTTCGATGATATTCCCTCAGCAAAAAAACACTGACTAACATTGAATGCTAACTCACAAGTAATAATCTACAGTGAAACTTTAAGTTCGACCAGAAAGTACTTGCAAAATTGCTTGTAGAAAGTCCTGTTTCAAAATAACACAAAAGAAGCTGTTGAAGTCGAATAAGGTACGTTTTCTTTTACATTTCTGTCTATGGATATCGATATGATTTATCGTTAAGCTATGTTGCTTGCAATTTTATACTTCATCAGTCGCTTTGACTTCAAGTCATTTTGTAAGCCACGTGTAAGTAAACAACGCTGTCAAGGTGCTATTGTCTATTTTCAGAAATAAACTATGTCTAGAGTTCCTGTGACCTTTATTTTGTTTCTATCCTGGCAATTTAACAAGATATCATCCACTTCTTCTGGGCCATTCCCTGCAGTAAATGAACAGTTTGATGTAAACAATGATAACAACATTCTCAATGGTGTAAAGAACTGTGATCCTGTTGGACCAAACGCTGATTTACATAACATCACAGATGCCATCAATAATAGTGACAAAGGTTATCCTATGAGTAAGAATGGAAATGATGTCATCACTAGAAAGTTATACACCTGGTCCATTCTATCAGCAGAGAGTGACAATTTTGATGGAATGCGAGAAAGCATTTCACAAAAACAAATACTAAGATCAAGTCATTATTCATCACATTCCTATGGTTCTACGAAGTATGGATTTTGTGAAGATTTGTGTGAATATGACCGATTCAAACAACATTTAAAATGTTTCGGGAAGACCTATCCAGATGTAAAACTTGGAAGTGTCTTAAAATGTATACCAAATTCTGCTGTACTAGACACTTTGGAACTTTTACACTTTAACTTTGGGACGATACCAAATGGACTCTTCAAAGGCATGTATAACTTACAAATGTTGTATATCAAAGAGTCGAATGTTACAGGGATCGAGCCAAATGCTTTTGAGGGACTAAATAAGTTAGTTGTACTGGAATTGTTTGATACAGGAACTTGGAAAACAGGTATAGCATATCTTGGCAAACACATATTCCAGCATTGTATTGAGCTACGAGGACTGGCCTTGGGGAAAGTCCAAAATATGGACAATGATACATTTGTTACACTACCAAAGTTGGAAATCATGGCTGTAATGGATATGAGCTTACTTGATCACTCTCATGCGTTTGGTTATATTCAATCATTGACTAAACTGCTCATGGTAAATATTGGATTGATGGACATGCCTCGTTTCACTCTTTCCAAAGAGTCTCGATGTCATCATTTTGTTGAATTGAATCTAGCTCATAACAATATCAGTAGTCTCTCTTTAAAACAGCCATTTGATACAGTGAAACCATTAAAAATTGCAATCAATAATAACAAACTCACAGAGATAACAAAATTAGATATATCTGTGACAATTTAGGACCGCTGCATCATTATCTCTGGATTTGTCAAACAATGATATAAAAATGATTGAACCATATTTTCTAGAGAGCATTCGAGAAATGAAACTTATCAACTTATTAATTTATATGTAACTCTAGCAGACTCTACCATCTCACTTTTCCTGCATTCCTGCATTTCATTAAAATAATTGTATTTACAAATATTGACTTTTGATCCTTGAACTACAATATACGCCTTGCGTCAGATTGTATATGAATACTATATGTAACATGTTAAAAATTGGAATAAACTTAAACTTAAAATAGGGTCACTAAATTTTGCACACAACATAAATTTCAAATACAAGAATTTCAAGACACTCATGGGAAGCCTTAATCACAAACCAATTAGGAGTTTGAAACTCGTTGGATGTGGTATTGTCTTTGGGGAGTTTAATGCAAACATTCTAAACTCCCTTCAATGGTCGAATCTTCAGGAATTGTTCATTGGCGACAACATAATCAGAGTTTTAGAATCAGATGCATTTTCAAATGTAAGTTCTCTCAAACTGTTGTACGTCTCAAACTTCATGCAATTTTCACCACAATTCCTGGAGCCTCTTCAAGCAAGTTTAGAGGAACTTATCATCGATAGCACAATTCTTCACAACATAGCAGACACAAAGTACAGGCACGGGATTGATTTGAATAAATTGAAAAATCTAAGGGCACTTCAAGTTAAGAACCTTGATGCTAGTCAGGTTTCTTTGCGATTTGAAAGGGTTCAACTTGAGTATATTGCTTTTAATGACATGAAAGAATCATTTGATTCTTATGAACATAGTATTATGATGGTCATGCAAAACTCTCCTAAATTAAAGGAGATAGACTTGGGGGGAAATCTGATGTTTCGCTACAGTGATAAGCAATTATGCTCCATGTTCAACAGTATAAATGTTACTTTGCTGTCACTGACGGACAATTATTTTCCAAACCCTCCAACTTGTATGTTTCGAAAGTCAAACATTTCAAAGTTAATCCTTAAGCGGAACAGAATAACTCACATTCAAGATGGTTTATTTGAATACATTCAAAGTTTAGTTTTTATCGATTTATCAGAAAATCCTTTGCAGGTAATTGATGAAAAGGCATTCACTTACTTTTCCGAAAACCCGGCAAAAATATATGAGATATTTATTGAACACACAAAATTGATGTGTGACTGTAGGATGAAAGCATTCATTCTCTGGCTACAACATAGGCCAAAGAACATTGTAGTGATACATGATAAGTTCTGTGCAGCGCCAAGAACAAAGGACGAATTAATGAAAGTAAGAATAACATGGGTAGAATGCCATAGAGAATTATTCATAAGTGTCTGCGTTACATCTGGTATTGCTTTACTTGTTATGACAGCACTAACAGGATCATTGGTGAAATTCTGTTGGAACCACATGAAATACAAACAACTGGTAAATAGAGCAAGAAGACAAAACGCTGAGCGTCATATTGAAGGAAGCGAAGACGATAATGAACGCTGTGATGCATTTATCACTTACCATCCAGAAAAGAGAATTTGGGTTGATGGTGTCATGACAGATGAACTGATAAAGGGAGATATCGAGTTCACATTAATGTTGCATGTGACTAGTATTGATTGTTCCAATACCAGTGGAGAGTCAAACTCTGATGAGATTTCTGCACGCATGGCACAATGCTACAATTTTGTCTTTTTGGTGTCACGAGGTTGGATAAAAGAGGGCGTGAATGAGTTTGAGATGGAAGCTGCAATAGATTTGTTGAAACAAAGCAAGAGGCATACACTAATTGTGATAATGATGGAGAACATACCACAGAAGGATATGTCAGAGACTCTGAAACTGATGGTGACAAACAATTTCTGTTTGAAGTGGAGTGAGAATGAGAGAGAACAAAGAAAGTTTTGGAGAGATCTCAAACTGGAACTTGGTAAGAAAAAAATCAAACTAAATTAGCTGAACTCCTTATATGATAGGATTCATCCATATACAATTTATGATTTGTACATTATAGCAGCTGGCGTGATAAGTAATGTAATATCAACAAATCACATTTGGTTATAATTTATTTTGTACATAGTTATTTGATTTGCTTGTAACAAAATTTGGGATGTAAAATTAATTTAAAATAAAAGGTTTTGATTGAGACTTTGTAAATGCAATTTCCAAGATTCTTTGAAAATGGGAATTTTTATTGATGGAATAAATTATACGAAACTCTATATGCATATTGTTTTTATCACATTTTTGGATGTTATATTGTGATCAGCTTGTCTGGCCAACGGCAGGTGTGGAGTTTTTGGGTAGATATTAAAGCAGCCATATTTGAATAATCTGTCTTGACAACTTGTCTATAAGGTATTGTCTACTTGTTTTAACCCGCCAAATCTAACTATACTAGACTGGAGTCAATATCCTGATATTTCAGCAACAAGAAAACAATCAAAATTGCTACCCTTTCAATGTTTCAACAAATAAAAGTTGTTCTCCAAAAACGGTGTCCTGGATAAATCCAAGTAACATTTAACAATTCATTTATCAAAAAAGTAACTTTAATACAGCTTGGAGAGGCATGCACAACAAACACGAATAAGGCATCAACACGACAAAATGTCACCATCTAGTATTAAGTGAGGTTTGAATTTCTGAGAACTTGTAGATGATTTTGAAAAAATTGTCAATTTGAATAAGTTGAAAAAAGACCCCATTGACGGTGAAATCTAAAATCTAAAATCAGATTTGAACTTGTAGATGATTTTGAAATAAAATTGGTCAATTTAAAGCAAGTTAAAAAAGAAGTGCCTTGATTTCTACCTTTAACAAGTTCTATAACCAACCAATTAGCAGATAAAATGGGCAAATCCGGGAATGATGTACAAAAAGACCGAATACATAAGGTTTGAACAACAATGTTCAAGACTTGCTGAACAATAGCAAAGTTCAAAATAAACAGCCTTGCAGTTCCCTAGTGTGTTCTTTGCCGTAGAAATAAGCACTGAACTAATTGCTTGGAGATCAAAAAATATCGAGTTCAAACCATTGGATCCACGTTTCGCAAAACCAAGAAACTGAAGCAGTGTTGGTATAACCCTAATGATTTCTGATGCAAGAAAATAAAAAATGAAATCAATGAGGTATAACAATTTTATTTCACTATTTGTTTTATTTGATTAATTTTGCCTTGCATTAAGTCATTTTAATTTTATTCAAATATCAGACTATGACTATAAGTATTAATCAATTCATATTTTTCTAAGATGTAAGTTAAAGACAGACTTTCTGAACCACCTGGTTGCTCATTAGACCTTATAAGGCAAGTCACATCCATTAGGCTTGTCAATCAAATCCTTATCCAATCAGCTAATAGTGATGCTTTGGGGGATAATATTTATGTTCATATAAACATAACAAAAGCACATGTTATAATTTCATACTTTACAGTCAGTGAACATGAACTGAATTATAGCAATTGACCAACATTTTTTTTAACCAAGAGTCTTCATACATTTTGTTATGCTTGCTACATAGATTTTCCAGTTAATATATGTAAAATAAATGTAGGTCTCCTTTAGGTAAATTGATTCATGTTCTAACAATCCCTAACATCTAAATTTGATATCATAAAGCAATTGCTTTTGGGGTCATTTCAAGAATTAAATGTAGATACCAGCACAAAAGCTTGAAATGTATGGGAAATTCTGTACAAATTTGAAAACGTGTATTGGTTCTTTCATCTGGTCCCTACCTACCACAAAGGGTTGCACTAAGTTATGCCCTTCATTTATGCAATAATTCTGCACTTTTCAACCTCTATTACCATTTTGTACCAGGGTCTCTCCAAATTTGAAATTGATGATCTTTTATATTTATGTAACCATATGCAAATGGTAAGAGATAATGAATTGTCCCATTTCCTAGGGTTGTTCCATATGAGACCCGTTCTTATAAAATTTCTCTAAGGTAAAAAACCTTTGTAAACAGGTTTTTGGACAAATGGAACATCAAAAATAGTGACTTTGTCCTTGTGTTGTTCAGGAGACCTCATTCTTACACAGTCATTATACAGTGAACATGTCTCAACCATCAGAAAAATAGAGAGCTGATGTTCAAGATTGAAATAACAGGATATGAAAGAATATATTAAAAACAGAGCTATCTTCACACTGACTTGCAGAAAGTACTCGTAAAAGCAAGTTTGAGCAAAAAGAAACTTTTGTAAAGTCATCAAACTCTAGAAAGGGCAATAGATGAGTTTCTTATATCAATGTTAGCCAAGTAAACCATGGCCAAGTACATTGTAGTAATCTCAAGTCTTTGGAACAGTATACAGTTATCTTGAAGTCTTTTACATCAAGCAAATGCATTGGATTTTGTAATTATATAATGTCTTTGTAGTCATACCTTTAATATACCATATGTAGGTAAGTAAATGACACATTTCTTATGATTAACAGTAGTATGAATTATGTTTAAATTGAAATGGTACTTATAACATGTGCTTTTGAAAGATTTACAAACAAACTTTACATCATGTGACCCTGAATACCTCACCTTATTGGTTGAAATTTGAATTAGGCCACTCCTCTTAATTAAAAAAATTACCAATTTTCAAATAAGGATTTCTAAAAAAGTAATGCATAATTGCAATAGTTGATTAATAGATTTTAAGGAGAATGTATTCATAAACATCTGTGACAATTTTTATGGTGATCTGTTGGCTACAACTAACAGAAAATCAAAATTATTCCTCTTGGTTAGAATTTTTCATATTCCTAATATTTTCAAATTTAGAATGACTCCATTTTTACTGGTCAAGCTGCTTTTATAGTGGAGGCTCTGTCTTTAAGGGTAACAGCATGGTGTTTAGCAGCTAGCTCAATCTTCTAATTCCTCTTTTACATCTGGAAGACCTTCTTGTGCGTTAAACGTAAAGAATGGATTGTCCTGAGCGCCTGTGTGGTCAAGGTCAATAGCAGCAGTCGTAAATTGTTCATTTTCATCATCTAACCCAGCACTACCCCTGCGTTTGGTGAATCTTGGTGCACTAACTATTAAGTATGGATTAGCCGTATGCATTTGCGGGGTTTTCGGCCCCTGTGGCAACGTTAAGCCTGGTTTTCCTAGATTTAATTTTAAAGGACCGGGTGAAGGAGAGGTTTGCAATGACAATGTAGGTAGTGAGAAGGGGGTGTTTGTGTCAGTGTCTGAGTGGTGCTGGATACTTATTTCTGGTGCGGGTTCATCAAAATTGAAGACAGCCTGTTTAGGTGGATATGAAATTCCACTGGCTTCACCAATTTTGCCTTCCTCAATTTGGTCATCTGGTAGGGCATTGTCATCGTCCGGTGCTATTATGTTTATCATAATTGGACTATCGTCTGCGCCCATCACGTGACTACCAACAACTGGATTGTCGTTATTATGCAGGCTTTCAAATCTGCACAAATAATTCCTTAACTGCCTCCTCTGGTCAAGGCTTTTGATTTTCAATGTCTTCATTTTATTGGTTGGAATGGGTGCCTTTTGGGTTTTATTTCTCCTCTTTTCGATACACTCTTTCATGACATCTTTGATATCTTCGATGTGTAGAAGCGTGTTGAACTCGGTAAGTTTCTTAAGTCTGTCAAATTGCTCGTGTGTATATTTGAAGTTAAAAGTTGAATATGGAGAGTTTGGGTCATCAAACAGATTAAAGCTGGCAAACTCTTTTTCTTCGTCTGTTTGTCGCAGAATCGCTGAAAATGTAAATGTTTCATTTACAATTTACTTCCAAAAGCATGGATACTTTCTGACGTGAAGATGTTTATGATGTTGATGTTCTAGATATGACTGTTTTAAATCACATCATCCTAAAGTGTGAAAGAAATGATGGTCCCCCAGGAATTGTGGTACCGTTTCTTAACGGCCCTTACTGGCCCTGATTGCGTATAAGATAATGAGGGAAAGAGTTGTATTTAGGGCACCATATAAATCAATGGAGAGTAGGAACATAATTTGATAGGACCTCCTACCCTTTTACACCGGCTCCTCCAAGGCCTTACCACTAAATGACACCATACCTTACCTGGTGCTTTGAAGTTTCTAAAATTCAAGTTTACGAGGCAGAAGTGCATCACCACAGGACAGTTTGGATTTGTGGGGTGTCTAAAGATATACAGTTCCTTCATGCCCTCTCTTTCAAAGACGCCTGCGTCTATTGGAGGGAAGGCGATGTCGTTCATCTTTGCCCATTTCTCAGCTAGAAGAAGTTCCTAAATATATAAATGTTTTGTCTTGTACAAAAAAATACAGAATCAAATACAGCATCTAAAAGTGATAAATATCAACAAAAAAACGAGATGATGAAAACATATATAAGCCTCGAAAATTATGTCAACGTAAAAACAAAAGCGACCAGCATCCGGTGAAATATAACACAGCAAAATTAAATGCTGCCTAATGCTATGTAATTCCATACATAACATAATCATGAAATAATTACATACCTTGAAAGGATGCGTATTATCACTCGGTCTTGCACTGAAGTCAAAGGAAATTAGAAGATCGACCCCGCGTTGTGGCCGTAAAAGCAAAGGATACGGCGAGTTGAAGGTTAAACCAGCATCCACCATGTAAAGTCGTTTGATGTTTGTTGGAGTCATCTCAAATATCCCGTCAAATTCATCTTTAACAGCACAGCATAATTATCAAAAAGTCAGATGTTGCAATAATAGAAAGATTTTGACAGAATTGTTTTACCACTTTGAATAAGTGAGTGTCGATCATTAAGAACCCTAAAATTTGTATATATATCATTATACTGTTAATGAAGTCTGTATGTTAATATGGTTTCCAAGCCTGGCGAAGGTGACAATTTTGACAAACATTTGGTGGCGGGGGCTGTCGAGTTGCGTCAATGGGTTTTATTAAAACGCAGCGTCTTAGACTGACCATCGTAACCCCGGGGATCGCGGTGTCTACACTCACACCCCTCCCGGCGATGACCAGTCTAACAGACAAGCTTTTGCCATCTAACCAACCGCACACGCCTTGTTTTGTTACTTTATTGGGAGAGGGACCTAGGACATTAAATGGTAGTTTTCATTAAAGATTGAAGTATATAAAATTTACCCAATGAAGTGTTGAGTCTTGGCGTAAATGGGGAAAGTGGGTAGATCTTATTAAGCTGAAGTCCTCTGAGAGGATTATGAACAACACCCGCTCGCCCAGCGCGACTGCTAAGGAAACTTGCCCTGCAAAAGAGAATTGGTGTAAGAGAAATTACGGTCCGCACTTACCCCTTGTAGCCTCCTATATGTGCTCCATATTGCCCATAATTGAGCATCAAATAATCATATCGAATAAGTCAATGAATAAATCTAAAATAACCAAATAAGTGTACCGGTGTAAATGGGTAGTTGGTCCTATCAAATTTTGGTCATACTCTCTATTGATTTATATGGTGACCTAATTACAATTATTTTCCTGATTATTTATACACAGCCATGGCCAGTAAGTGCCGTAAGGAAAGGGGACCATAATCCCCAGGGGACCATAATTCATTTTACACCGGGTGCATTTTCTGTTGGTTACCTAATTGTAGTTTCACGGTTTGCTATTTTAGAATTTTACATACTTGTTAAAGACTCCTGACATACATTTCTCAAAAAAGCTCAGTTTTCTTTTCTTAGACTTTTCCTTTTTCAGGCTTAATCGTCTACGTTGTTCTCGAATGGATGACGAACGCCTCCGCCAGGGAGAGTTAGGTGCAGTTGTATCATCCGGGTCTTTCTCAGACTCAGATCCCGGATATTCAAAATCAGATGCATCTGAGCTCCATTGGCGACTTGATCTTGGTGGTAATTGTGCTCGCCTGTGTCGGTTTAGTTTGGGCCTGGATGTTGTCGTGGGGGTACCACTACAGGAGTCTGTCCCACTGGAGGATCTACGTCTATCCGAGCCTGACTCGGTGGCCGTGGAATCATCATCGCTACTGGCGGGATCATCGCTACAGTCACTGCTCTCTTCGTCGTGGAGGTCTAGCTCATTTGCTGAAATATTGCAAAACCTGTGGGGGATTGTTGTGTCATTTATGTTGAGTTATGAAGTTCAGAAACCGTGTGACTCAGGCTTATATAAAAAACCTCCTACCTCATACCCACCTACCCACGTACGTGGGACACTCTTTGAAGGGTTCAATTTTAAAGATCTTAGTTTATTAAATCTTAGTTTATGATGAATTATAGATACATTTGTACGGACCCTTGATAGCAAGTTGCTACTACATCCCAGCTGGGTTCGATTCCCACTCGGGGCATCAATTTAGCACACTTTCTTTCAATTTCTTTATCTGGCTAGTTAGACCTATGCTCGCGGTCGTTAGTTATTTATTCCCCTGGGGCGCCCTCGGGTCATTACGCATCAAAATGCATCCATATGCCTTCATTTATGGATCTGTCGTCTGTCTAGTCATAAAATAAAGCCGGAATTGTAGAAATGTTAATAATTTGAGCTATTTTGAGATTTAATAATCTTTAAAATTGACTGTCAATGACTGTATCATGTTCCACGTAGGTGGGTAGGTGGGTATGAGGTAGGAGGTTTTTTATAAAAAGCCGTGTGACTCACCCTCTGAGGAATTGAGAATCGCTGGGTCTTTGAAAAACTTGGGAAAAGCTTGGGAAACTATTAAGTATTGTACAGTACCTGACGTAGTGATTTTATATTATGCGAGACATTCCAACTGAGACGACGTTAAAACTACTGGCATTATACAATCCACTGGTTCTATAAGTTGCCTCATTTTGAGAAAAGTATGTCTTTATATTAGGTAAAATGAACCTCAACGTGAAGTTTCATAGAGATTATGTATATATCAGTAGGCTCAACTGTTCTTATACTAAGAAATAAGAAACTGGTACTATCCATTCTTCGAGCTCTTTTGATTTGTAGAGACATTATATCTTGACTCAACTTATTAATATATTATCCAATGGCTTTACGTAGAGAATTAATTACACGTTGACTCATGAATGACGCGGATTAATAATAACGTTTGAGGTATGTATCACTGTCATTATTTCATTTCAAAAACATCACCGGAACTACTGCGAAAAGAGAGGATAATACCCCACAATTCATAGAGGTTCATCCCTATATGGAGATACTTCACCTATGGATCCTGGGACATTTCCTCCCCACACAGTGATTGATGTTACATGATGTTACATAATACTACTGTTTATAATTACTAGTATAAGAATCTGTCATGTAACACGATATAATTACTTATAATCATACATCGACTACTGAAGGCTGAGTATTCAATTAATGGCGTTCCATATGTAACATATAAATGTATTTTAATCATATGTATTGTATTAACATGTCTATTGCTGTAATTGCGTAATTGTTGATTTTAGTGATACCTCCGCTTATATTGCTTGTACAGTATATGAAGATATTGATGAAGCTCTGAGTACCTCTGTCATAAAAGTGACTGTCAAAATTAAAAAATTAAGAAATAGATATTTTACATGCAATTGGTTAAACTTTGTTCAACATTAGCGATACTTAATTCTATTTTTGTTTAAACGGATTGCTAACTACAACCAATGACGTCATCAATCTTGCAAATATATTATACCGTTCTACGATTTATTAAACGGTAGCATGGTTTATTGGGAAGGTATATTGGCAAGTAAAAGACAATTTCTACTTACCCATTTCCGATCTGACAATATCAACAGGATCCATGGAAGAGGTATCATCGAGTAGGCGTTTGAAGAGAATGGTAAATGCACTTCCCCACATACCTAATCAGGACAATGAGAACAAACACTTCAATTGTGTTATTTTTAACACCTATGAACACGCGGCAAAGCATATTCAAAATCCCACTAAAAGCAATTGAACAGAAAATTCTGACAAAAGCTGACTAAAATAAGCTTTTCAATGGGGAAATTAGCGTTGCAAAACATTTGTAAATAGATCCACATATAATAGGCATCAGTAATGATGTCACAAGTTGACTTGAAATGGGCTAGTCTTACCTGTTTGATATTTAATCATGAAACGTGAAAAACAGATACCTTTGTCGTCAAAAATGTTGAATAGTCGTATTATATTAAAGCGACTTGCCTTGTAAGAAATGTAGCGGCGGCTCTTCAAACTTTCGAGATATTTTCCCCATGAAGAATTTGCTTCCAAACTGCTCAGTTCGCATAAAAGTTCCATATTTTGGCATCCCTATCTCGTATGGTGAGAATTCTACCCATTCTAGAAATGAAATATCACTATGATACTTTAATAGATGTTTGTAAAGCTATTAAAGCTAAGTTCACACCAACGGCGCTTTGATGGAGCTTTAAAGCGCCGTGCAAAGCCGCTTTGCACGCCTCTTCAAAGCGCCATCAAAGCGCCGTTGGTGTGAACTAACCTTAAAAGCGACGCAGTTGTATGATTGGATCCACGGGTCGTGCTTCTCAAATTAGACTACCGGAAAATAAACTGGGAATTATCAAAATTAAGATCTGTTTCGTTCAGTGTATATCAAGAGAGATTTAATTATTCGTCAATGTTTTTGTCAATGTTGAAACGTAAAAATAGACTAATATTGATTTATGTATGCTTGACACTTATATAACAAAATAAATAATCTATCAGATTTTCTGTGACTATAAATGGCACTTTCAGAAGATAATATTCCACTATTAGCACTTTGAGTTTTTTTCTGGACTATCACTTTGCAAGAGCAATTTGCAAGCAAAACAAAAATGATAGTTTACATTTATTAATTTAATTTCAAAAAAATAAAAGGATGTCGCGATTGAACGTCTTTTAAGAAAGGACAAATATTCTTTAGAAGCCAGGAAGTCCCATTTTGAACCACGTGCTGTTTGTGTTTATAGTGATTTAACAATGTTTTACTTGACATAATGAATCTGCGATCTACTGTAACTGAGGAGCTAAATCTAAACCTAAAAAGGATTTAAAAAACACGCTATCCATTGTGAACTTCCGGTTCCGTTTGCCGAACTTATTGAAAGGAGTGCGTACGAACATGTACAGTACCTTGGAACACCTTGGCCGAAACGTCTTTCTTTACATGAACACATGTATAAAGAGGTAGGGGCGCCTGTCCTTCATTCACTTTGTCTTGTTGGTCAGAAAGTGTCATCTCCAGACGCTAATAAGAAATAAAAAATGAATTATGACAAAAAAAGCTTCCATTCTGTCTTAAAGCTGAGACCAAAATCTAGTTATATTTATTGAAGCTGTCCTTTAGAATACATAACAAATAATGGAAAATTATCATTCTCCATTATCAAAACATGTTTTATAAATAATCAAATTGATGAAAAATCATGATATCGTGTTGATTGTTGAAATCAGCGAAAGTAATCCAGAAATTATAAATGAATTCTTTAATTGGAAGAACAGGACTCGTTTAATACACTCGTCGCCAAGGGTTTGGCAACTAAAGGTTTCACCATATACAATGGATCAAGTAAATGTAAAAGCCCGGTGTGAAAAATGATGGTCCCCCGGGGATTATGGTCCCCTTTTAAAGGCCCCTACTGGCCCTGACTGTGAATAAGATAGTCAGGGAAAGAGTATTTAGGTCACCATATAAATCAATGGAGAGTAGGACCATAAATTAGTAGGACCTCCTACCCTTTTACACCGGGTATAAAAGCCTTGGTTTTATGCCTCTAGATACCCTCTCCTGAACTTGTTCATCCGTTGGGAATATTTGATTGCCATACTTATGGTGGGGGTGTACATCGTTTGCCGTGTTGTCTTATCATTGTGATTCTGGTACAAATATTCGTCATGAGTTGATTATATAAGTACTGAAGTAATTGGGTAGAATAGTTACAAAAGCTTGAATTAATTTCCAGTGGAAAAAAACAGCCGCATCAAAAATCAACAAGATTTCCGCACCCCGCCAGCCAATCGCAAACAATAAAACAACAACCTGTATACAAGGCAGCCCTTATTAAAACTCGATCTTAGATCAATTTTGTGATATTATCACCCATTTGTTTAAGACTAGCACTGACACGGGAGTTTGAATATTACCATAATACATCTCCCATAGAAAGTCTCGGTGCAAAGATAAACATTAATGTCCCTTGCTAGGCAAGGTTGAGTTGAAATAATGGGTCTCGATTAAAAGGAGGGAAAGCCCCATTGCTAAGAGATAGCAGATTTGTGATTACGTCTCATGCTTACCACCTTCGTATGTTCGAATTATCATCGGCTAGTTTCCAAATACCACGCTTCGGTGTGATGTTTTAATTGATGTAGTTATATCCGGTACACCTTTCTTCATCTTGATATGAAATAAGAAGCTATGATATTGGTTAACACGCCAGAAATGAACATAATATTATTCGAAGCGTATTTCGAAAATTTTGAGCCGCCATTTTTGTTTGTCGATTTTGACCAATCAAAGACGTAGGTCATCATAATACAGGTTTACATTTTAAGCGTACATGTAGGTCATCTTTGAACTCTGGAGTCAATCCCCTCCCTAGCTGCCAATTCTTATTAATCATTCAAAAGGATGGTAGGCACATACACAAGCACTTACATCTTTCAGAAGTGTCTCCCCGACCAAATGACCAAAGAAATCTGTAAAACTGACAGGCTGACCAAGTCTTCGCTTCTGTAGGATTCTTTCTACATATCTATACACGCTTTGTGGTTTCAGTAACCATAGCAAACTCGAGTCTATCCGGTTCTTCAACTCATCGTTGATTATCTCTGGAGAGCAGCTGGGCCATTTGGAATGGGAGTAAAGCGTTGATAAATACCTTAAAATAAAATAAAAAACTATATCTCACAATTTCAGAGACCAGAGTAAGAATCAATACACTAAATGAATGAATATTCAGGAAAGAGATGTATTCGAGTTGGAACAAAACTGTCAAGCTGATATTGATCAACGAGGTTTGATAACAAAGCGTAAATAATATTTATTATGAATATCGCCGATCTCTGTTCACTCGGTGTGCTCGCTTGGGAGATATTAAATATCCATGGATAAAAATGATATCCTTCAAAAATGATGGGATATTCTTTATAAATTCTCTTACCAAGTTGATCCAGATAAGCCAGCGACATACATCGCACAATCCAATATGTTAGAGTCATACAGGGCTTTCATAGCACCAGCCAACCCAACCATTGCTCTAAAGCCACCTCCTGAGCCGAGAATACCAATTGTAGGGACCTAGAAGACAGGAACATTCAATTCAATTTGTGTTTACATAGCTGGCACCACAAGTGAATATAGTACCTGTACAATATGCAAATCCCTGATACGAGTGAGCTTCTTAATTTAGATAATGCATGGTACAGTGTACTTTAATCATTCGATGGGGGATAATTAAACCCTGTTTTATAATTAAGAGAGGGAATATCCCAGAATTCATAGATGAGCGTATCTCCATGTAACATGGTGCTCTTAATAATCATCTTTACATAGCTTCATCTATGATTTCTGAAGTATTTCCTCCTCTTCCGTTTGTTTGTTTGTTTGTTTGTTTGTTTGTTTGTTTGTTTGTTTGTTTGTTTGTTTTTAGTACAGTAGATCATCGATTGGGATGCTGGTGCTTGGTTCTTATAATTTCACTTTTCGAACTCTGATTTTGATACTTCGGGGGTCACTTGAACGCGTTGGTCAATGTGTTTGGCGATAAACAAATTCTACACGTTATTTGAGCCCAGGAATACGATATAAAATTTTTAAAAATGTCGCCTGTAGTGTACTGAGTTGTTCTTATGGAGTGTACTAAATGACTTTGATTACTGAACTACATAACATGAGTTACATCATGGTTTTTGGGATATTTGGGGTTTGTTTTCCTTATGACTAGTATTTTCTTAGATGTTGTATTTTTTTGCTGTGTTCTGTAAAAACTTTTTTGTCCTTTCCCTTTGGCACTTTATTTCACACAGACTGTTTAACATGACTAAAGCGCAAAAGGTGGATGGTGGATATAACACAAGAAGCGTGGTATAAACTACAATCCCGGTGTAAAAGGGTAGGTGGTCCTATCAAATTTTGGTCCTACTCTCTATTGATTTACATGGCGACCTAATTACAATTATTTTCCTTATTATTTATACACAGTCAGGGCCAGTAAGGGCCCTAAGGAAAGGGGACCATAATCCCTTGGGGACCATAATTTCTTTTACAACGGGCCTTGTTGCTTCAGAGTACTGCACTTACCTCCCATAGTGTTTGAGGGGCGCAGTCACTCCCCAAAAGCGAGTTCATCGACTCGATGACGTTACGTCTCCGAACGTCCACGAATCGCTTTTCATCGTCGCTGAGGCACAGACTGTATCTTAGATCTGGATCGGTGCTAAAAAGGGAATATATTCATTGATTATCAACTCTTTAAAAGGATAAGAGTGGTTATTACTGGACACAAGGGCTATTGTAACGACCCTTGGGTACGCCCGTCGGGGAACTGTAGTGACCCGAGCCAGATACTAGACTCGAAAAAGAGTGTGCTAAATTCAATGCCCCATACGGGCAAGCGAACCCAGGACCTTCCGCTCTCGAGTTAGACGCTCTACCCCTGAGCCATAAAGGCTAGCCACTACAGCTGAGCCTGTAGTAGCGACTTGCTATCGAAGGTCATTACACTATTTTTAAAATTCAGGGATCTCATTCGGAGATGCAGACAAATTCAACATCTCGATACGTTTGGCAATTTCCCTTCTGGATCGCGTTAGAGTCTGTTTACTCATATATTTAGCGATTTTAAAAAAATCACCGAAATTGTCATCCAACTATTGTAACAAAAGAAGTAAATTAAGTTACAAACATCAACAGGCTTTAACTGCTATCAAATGAACACTTCCAGTTGTCAGACTTATGGAGGGGAGTGTATATGGCAATATGTTGGGGAGTGTATATATAATAGCAATATTGATGTGAATAATTCTCTTTAAGGAAACAAAAGAACACCATTGAAAGAGAATGATTGGTTTCACTTACTAAAAATCAACTCTCAACATTGAAAATGTAGGATTGTTTTCACTTTAGCTACTCAAAATCAACCCTAAACATTGAAAATGTAAGATTAGTTTTGCTCAATTACTTAAAATCAACCCTCAACACTAAAAATTGTAGGATGGTTGGAATGAACTTACTCAAAATAAACCTTCAACATTGCGGATTGATTTGACTTACTCAAATCAACTCTCAAAAGTGAAAATATAGGATCGGTTTGACTTACTCAAAATCAACTCTCAACATTGAAAATGTAGGATTGATTGGACTTAGTCAAAATCAACCCTCGACATTGAATATGTAAGATTAGTTTTGCTAAATTACTTAAAATCATCCCTCAACACTAAAAAATTTAGGATGGTTGGAATGAACTTACTCAAAATAAACCTTCAACATTGAGGATTGATTTGACTTACTCAAATCAACTCTCAAAAGTGAAAATATAGGATCGGTTTGACTTACTGAAAATCAACTCTCAACATTGAAAATGTGGGATTGATTGGACTTAGTCAAAATCAACCCTCGACATTGATTATGTAAGATTAGTTTTGCTAAATTACTTAAAATCAACCCTCAACACTAAAACATGCAGGATGGTTGGAATGAACTTACTCAAAATAAACCTTCAACATTGAGGATTGATTTGACTTACTCAAATCAACTCTCAAAAGTGAAAATATAGGATCGGTTTGACTTTCTCAAAATCAACTCTCAACATTGAAAATGTAGGATTGATTGGACTTAGTCAAAATCAATCCTCAACATTGGAAATGTAAGATTGGTTTGGCTAAATTACTTAAAATCAACCCTCAACATTGAAAATATAGGACTAGTTGAATTTACTCAAAATCAACCTTCGACATTGAAAATGCAAGATTTGGTTGGACTTACTCAACATCAGCTCTCAACATTGAAGTTGTAGGACTCGTTGAACTTACTCAAAATCAACTTGAAAATGCAAGATTGGTTGAACTTACTCAAAATCAACCCTCAACATCACATCAACTTCAATATTATTGATGAACTGAAACGTCACAAGTTTCTCTTCATTCATTGTGAGGCCCCCTATATTATAGTCGGCAAAACCAATAGTGTGATCCTGGAGGTAGTTCGCATCACGTAAAATGACCTCTAGAATCAGAGAGATGGGAAAAGGTACACTACGCACAATGAAGAAAACTTTGTTTGAAACAATAAAAACAATGTACAAATAAAAATGTAAATGTGACCAGTTATGTCAAGAATGATTTAACTAAATTAAAATAAATTGCAATTAATTAACTAGATATCTTAGAAATATCTTAACGTCGTCATTATCTTCACTTCGATTCATTAAATACATGTCTGATTTTTTGATTTTCTTTTGTGTTGCTTCTTATGTCAAATATGACGTCAAGCATATAAAGATATAGTGTATATTATAGTATCGATTATAACTATATGTATGTGGATACTAGTAAAGTATATATTATAAAATAGTTTATATATACATGTAGAATTGTAGATAATGTATTATAGATATAGTATATAATATAAACATACAGATATAGTATATATTACTTACGCAAAACATTGTGGTCCGACGAATCCATCAGAAAGGTGAATTGTTCGTCCCAGACGGGGTTAACATCGTTATCAATATGTTTCGTCCTTTTCCGACCATCTGGGGCACTTTTCATCTTCAGGACCACATACGGATCGGGTGTATCCACTACAATGAGCCAAATATACAAATGTACACTCGCCTTCATAAGTTTGGCAGTTATCAACTTATTAACTTAGGTTACTTATAACAGTAAAGCCCGTCTAAACGGAATGCCACTGAGCTGAGACTGCCCAAAAGTATATGAATTTGCAGGTGTTCACATTTCGATAATTATCCTAAATGTGTAACTCAATGGAATGAAAGATACTAAGTTTGGGACTGAACTTTTTTCTGGATTAGCAGGTGTTCACATTTCAATAATCCTAAATGTGTGAGTCAATTGAATGAGAGATAATAAGTTTGGGACTGAGAAAATGTTTTTAGATTAGCAGGTGTTCACATTTCAATTATACTAAATATGTGAGTCAATGGAATGGAATATAACAAGTTTGGGACTGAAAAAAAGTGTTCACATTGAGGGGTGTTCGGATTTGAGAGATGTTCAGATATACAGGTTTCACTTTACTTACACATATCTGCCATCCATCCATTGGAAATATTTCTCCCACACATCACATGAGCAGTTAGAATCATGCATGGTCTGTGTTCGACCTCAAATACACGGAATGGATCGAACCTAAAAAGTGAAGTGCTTGACACTGTTATTCTAATATTGCGTTATTCTAAATTCTAAAGGTCCATGTGCAGTTTGGCAAGTGATTTTAGACGGTCATATCTTTCACCATGAGTACTTTCTGCATCAATACAGTGATTTTTATTAAAACAATAGGTTTTCTTTCCAGTGAAGTCCCCGTGAATTCGAAACAATTTTTTCAAAATGTTGAACTTATTTCCTCAAAAGAGGATCATCTTTTCCTGATTTTTATTGCATGAAAAGATTATTCAACAAGGGGTATAACACATCTTCAAAACTAGAATGGTATTGAAAGACTAGTTTTGAAGATATCAATTTTCGATGACCAAAAGCATGCAGAAAACAATGGAAAGCATGAGTTTTTCCTATGGGAAAATAACATGGGAAATGTGGTTTTTAATTTTATCGCATTCCAATACCCCTCCTCTTTGCAGAAGTTATTAATATAGTGTAGAGGAAACTTTTGATATTAATTAAAATTGAGAAAAACATGTACAAGATCCTCTTTTTTAGAAAACAAGCCTTACATTTAAAGTGACAAGGTGGAGTCCTAAACCATAATTTTTCAAAGAGTTGGATTGATATTTTACTATCATGGGGACTTTCATGGACCTTTGTATATATGTTTAGGCGTAGTACTTACTCATCCATTCCTGGCATTGGCAGACTGTCTCTTCTACTCCCTCCGAAACCATCGGGTGAATTCACGGGACGTTGTGCTAAAATTAATCTCAAATATTGTTATAACTAAACTGTTATCATCTAAGAATGCAACAAACGGCTACCGGCTACCGGATTATCCTACTATTTATGACCTACTCATTTAAATATGAAGATTCAAGATTTCAAGATTCAAGATTTTATTGTGTTTCAAACCAAACACTTGGTTTCCTCACAAAATCAATTACAAGACATTTACATATAATTATACAGTTAAAAAAACAACATGCATTGTTTCACAAATACCATCATACAATCTTTCCTTTTTCAAATAGCTCCCGACGCTGATTAAAAAGTTTATTTATAAAATGTATCAATTCGTTAACAATTTCAAAATCATCAGAAGTCATCAAAAAGTTATATTTTTCTTTATCCGACATATTATCAAATGTGTCAATAAAACTTAGTTTATTAAAAAATTCAAATCTACATTTTTTATAGCCATCACACACAAGAAGAAAATGCCTTTCATCCTCTACTTCCCCCTTATTGCAAATCTGACAAATTCTTTCATTTATTTCAAGTCGATGCTGTTTAGTGCCATCTTTTTTCTTTTTCTCGTGTCTCCCTGTTTCAATTCTTAAATTATGGTTTGCTAATCTAAACCTGGCCATTTTAAAAATTAACATTTTGTTCACGCTTAATGTTAAATATCTTTCCAGATTGTAATCAATTTTTATATAATTTCCAAGTTTTCTATTTTCCCTTATAGCTCTATCATTAAGTTCTATATATTTTGAATGGAATAGTCGCAGGTGCTATTCATATTTGAATGAGTTGCCAATAAAGTAGTAAGGTTAATCGGTACCCGCTATTTGCATTCGCAAATACTGTACAAGGTTATGGTTTGTTTTTTGGTTGTCATGCAAACAGCGCCCCTAGTTCAAGACTAATAATGAAGGATGGAGTGAAGAACCTTGCATAATCTGGTATTTGATTTGTGGAGCCATCTTTTAGGCCCCAGGCTCTATTACTATCTCTTTGAAAGACTGAGTTTGATAGTCTCCTAGCCTTCGTTCAGTGCAATCTGTGCCTCCTGGTTGTGAAGGTACGCAACGAACGAAATGAATTTTGACAAGTGAGTTTGACTGCATATACCTGTATATGATATAGCCTTTAAAACATTTAAGCGGCAGTATTATTCTAGTGATATGAATCATTCATCTTTATATCTAGGTATTGGCTTTTTGGCCCACCCTGTATCTACAAGTTTTGACATTTTATGGAATATCTGACTAGGCTAGTTTTACCCACCCGCTTCCATTGATCTGTTTGGGTCAATGCGTAGTCGTGACATGCCAAGTGGCAAGCCACTGTGACGATTGTCTGCCATCAAGAAGGAGTTACAAGTTCAAGAGTTCACTTTTTGATATAAGCTATATCCCTTATTAGAAGGTGTATCCCCTTTCCAATCCGTTTACTTATTAGTTCCTTTTCACAACTCTAGCCTTTGTAATTCAACTATCTTACGAAACATCACAAACCATCATTTGAAGATATCTCTTTCACAGTATATAACATTGATTATATCATTTCATAAATTAGTCTTAATCACCTAGCCTGTTTTGTACTAATGATTTGCAAATACGTGTTCAATATGAGAGGTGGCGGTGACAGATGCGGTCTAAAATTAGTGTTCAACCCGGATTGTTACGCAATAAACGATACAATATATAGGCGCTTAGTTTGTTCATTTTTTCGCCGAGAGCAGAGGCAAGTTATAAAATCCTGTGAAATATGTTTATAGTTTATCGGCCCCTTCCTAATTTCAGATGGACATCATTGTCTGGGTCATAAATCAATCCATGTACGAGCCTATGAGAAATGTTACACAATGGGGCATTGTACACTGACGGTAGTTTCGTAATATGCAATTAAAGATTCCGAGGAGAAAATATCATCATAGTAAACCATGACATTTCACGTCTTCTCAGCAACGTGATGTAAGAGCACGGGATGAGGCCCGGATATACTGTCATTTATAAAACAAAACAGTCTTATTCTTATCCATAGCATTAAGCTTATAAAAATCAGTCTTATTCCTTTAGATGTAAGTAATCTCTTATAAAAGATATAATATGCATGTACACTCCCCTCCATAAGTTTGGCAACCTTTTTTCCCCATTGAACTACGTGTTAAAGCCTCTCTACGTTTGGATTTTTATTTACTTAACCGGCGATGAAATAACTTATAATATTAATGGAAACGTAACTTGACTTTATTTCCAATACCTCCAAATTTTCTCATTTTTTTCCCTCAATTACAATAGGTCGAAAATTGATGATAAATTTGACGAATTTTTGAAAATCGTCATTTCCATGTAATCCAATGGGAAATGGAGGGTTCGGGGCAAATCAGAAATCAGGATGTCTTTTCAGTAAAAGATTCAGCAAAAAATATTTTTATATAGAAAATTGAATTGTCTAACTTTTATGAACACTAAGTGTTTAGTTTATTTGAGGAATATTAAAGTTACAGCGCTTCAAAGTCATTTTTGAAAATAATTTTTCGCCTCCTGTGTTATTTCAATGGGAGAGGTTTTTTGAAAAACAATTTTGACTTTAAAGCCTTATAATTTTGTTGAACCTGAAGAAACATATCAATTTTTTGTTAAATAAAGTTAGCAAATTCAATTGCCTGCCTAACTCGTATTTTTGCAAGGACTCGGATGGATGGATATTCTGTCATATGACTTGCGGCAAACCTACCATTTCCCATTGGTTAACATGGGAATGTCGATTTTCAAAAATTCATCAAATTTATCATCAATTTTCGACCTATTGTAATTTAGGAAAAAATTGAGAAAATTTGGAGGTATTGGAATTAAAGTCAAATTACGTTTTCATTAATAGTAGAAGTATTTTCATCGCAGGTTAAGTAAACAAAAATTCAAAGGTAAAGAGGCTTTAACACGTAGTTCAATGGGGGAAAAAAGGTTGCCAAACTTATGGAGGGGACTGTATACAGCACGCATTAACAACTCTTACTAGCGTTCATTTTAAACATTTTAACGTATTCCTGGACCTCAGAGCACGAGTCTAATGAAACAGAAAGATGCAATGCTTCTCATATCAAAGTACGTGGAAAAAATTAAGTTTGACTTTCCTCCCAAGCAGGTGTCCAGAATACGTACCTCCGTCTCCGTCCCATATTAAAAGAGAAAGAAAATATTCTGAATCTTGGAGACCTGCGTTCGAAGAATGACATGTCTAATTAGGATATGTGTTTTGTAAAAAGCGAATGTTTTAAATCCAATATTAAATATCATGATAAATCATGACATCTAATTTCTTCTCAGCCCTGAGATGTTTCAGGTGAAAAAGAAAGATGCTATGAGTATTAGAATTAATATCAACAGTTATAATACCCTGCGTGCAGAGTCTAGTTAAGACGAAGCTCTCTTTTAAGAAGTGAAGTCAAACGAATGCAAAGGGTACAGTTATAACCGATGAATGATATATATAAATGGCATGAGAGTTTTCATGTTCTTCTTAGGGCATTAAAAGGGTCATCTTTGAACTCTGGGATACTTTGTCCTCTTGCTCCAGCTCATAGTGATTAATTGAAAAATAGCGTGCATATCAAGAATTAATACAAACACATAACTGTTCCAATTATTGGCACTTATCATTACACAATAACACGCAGTGTGAATAAGGGAGGATTCTTGCATTTGTCGACAACGACAACGACAACAGGTGAGATATACGTCAAAATACGTCAAAACAAATTAAAATAATTCTAGAGTCGTGTTTTAGTAACATGAAGCTACTCAGCACATTATTGCTCTGACTAAAGAGGAAAAGACATGTCATGATATACCATAATTTGGTATAATAGTCTCACATACTGAGCATGGAATGATTTTTGAACAACAGGTTTATGGGTCCAGATTCTGTACCAATCTTCTTATTCCCATTACGTTCTAGACATAGAACGTCTAATTAATTTCTGGAACTTACAAAATTAGACAGTAAGAAGTCGGAAACCTCCAGGGTATCAATTTTGATTGATTTTATAACGCTGGTATTATTCACTAGTATAAACAATACCATCACACTTGATAGAAAGAAACTAAGAGCACGAGTCCGAGGTCATGAAATTTTACATTTACAAGAATAGCAATAGCCCCCAGCCGTCTCCGGCTTATGAGACACTTTTTATATCAAAGTATTTACTGAAATTGTTGAAATTATTTTGTGCGATTCAATTCATTGATTGTCCAGTTTAAGGATTCGTCTTGGTATGAACAGATTAGTCTTTGGGAATACTGGGAAAATTTCAAGGTGGCCATTTTGGATTGTCACATAGTGAAGTTCTTAAAAGCTTTCAGTCAAATCTTGTCTCCGCTTTTTCAGCCAAATAATTCAGTGGGTTGGTTTGAATATATCATGCAAAACACCAGTGAGTTCCAATTTGAAAGGAAACGCGTGTACCAGGTACATATAAAAATGCAGAAAAGTGCCTTAATTGCGCAGGAAAATAACTTCATGTGATTTCCAAAAGATCATTACGGGTCACCTAAACATGGGTCGTCAGGGGTCACATCAGCTTCAAAAGGCCGTAAAACTTAAATAACTGCCTTTGACCTAAGATGACCTTGACCTATAAACGTTAACTTTTATATCGGACAACCTTATAAAGGATCGCCGAGTGTAACACTAGACCCAAACAGTGAAAAATCTTAAAACGCAAAATACCTAGATATTGACATTGACCCAAAAAGTTGTGCTTTTCCGATCCTCAGGTTACCCAATCATGGGTCGTCAAGGACCAGATCACTCCCCAATGGCCTTAAAATGTTAAATATCTAGATATTAACGTTCAATGTCGAGAAAAGGGTGCCAGCAGTGTCAGAATACATAATTACATACGAACCAATAGCAAGCGGTTGCAAACGTCACTACTCAGAGAAATACGCTATATATTCTAACGCGACGCCCATTTTGCTTTCTAAGCTATGAATACGTTGTCGATAACTATCACATATATTTAATATAGACTTGAGGTAAAAAACACAGACGTTTACCATAAAGACTGTTCAGACAGAATGGATTTAGCAAATGCCACAAATATATCCATAGTTGGATTCGATTTGGACTTTGTAGCAAAGAGGAACGATTTGTTCGTAAAGGAAAATATTTTGGTGGTCATTTTTATGTTTTTCGTTATGATCATCGGCTCGTTTGGGAATCTCTTGGTGCTGATTGTACATCGCACAAAATTTATGAAACGCACGGGGACCTACTACATGTACATTCTTGCGGGTATAGATTTCGTAAGTTGTATTGTAATACATCCTTATGTAATTCACAAACTATTTTATTTCTATGGTCAATCCGTCAAGAGATGTAAGATCAGTTATTTTTTCACGCATATCAGTGTGGTTGTACAGGTGTTTCTACTAACGGCCATTGCTATTGATCGTTTCTACACGATGAACAAACCGTTAGATTTCAAAAAGGCTTACAAAAGAATGCGTGCCTTCGTTGGTACATCTTTTGTCGGTGGTATCATTTTGAGTACCCCGATTATTGAGTTATATGGTATCAAGACTGTGGAACTGATGGAAGAGAACAAAAGATATGATGGACATACGTGCTATTACAGCGACTTCTACGAGGGCACGAAAACGAAAAAGGTTTTCCAGTATTTCCGAATGATGGTGTTTATTGTATGTGCCGTTGTTATCGTTATTATGTACGTCAAGATAGCTAGGACATTGCGCAGAATTAGACCTATTGGAATGGACATAATTTCGAATCATAAACGAGACAATGCAAAACCTTCGAAACCACATGTTTTGAAGCAAATTGGCATTTTTGGACAAAACGGTGAAATGCATTCGCAAAGTGAATCGTCCAGACAGAGTTCGTCAGCAAGTAAATATAAATATCAAGCGCAAACAATTGGTGATCACCTCAGACCACCTGGTCCTAATGAAAAACAGTTCGGTGACAAATTAAAAGTTCCAGTTGATAAGCCTCAAAATGTAGTTGCTAAAGATGCTGTGGTTGTTGCTACAACATCAACCGCAAGGACGGAGCCAAATTACCGTGGAAAACGAAGTCGAACTGTTGTCAAAATTCTATTTTTGGTGACAACTATGTTCCTCGTAACATGGCTTCCATTCTGGGTTATCAGATTTACTTTACATGGGGCGAAAGGTCTGGAACTTAAGAAACTCGAAATTTTCTTTAATCGATTTGTTTATCTAAATAATGCCATTAATCCAATATTGTATTGTTTGGTTCACAAAGTATTCATCAAAGATTGTAAAAATTGGTTCAGAAGGATGAGAAACAGAGTTTTTTGCACATTTCCGACTCATTGTTGTATTGTGGAAAGAGCTTAACTTAAAATACAGGGTGAGCCAAAAAAGGAACCTCAAACAAATGTTAATAACTTCGTCACTCGGCATGGGTTTAGTGTCATATTTTTATTCTACACAGTGTACTTGGTCTATTTTAAATGGTCGCAATTCTATGGCCACTTTAAAAAACACGAACATGGTATAAAATATGGGCGTCGCGTCTGGAGACGTGTACGTATCGAACGAGTAGTTGATCAATACACGAGAAGAGGGGGGGGACCCCAGAGCTTTGACGATGACTGATATATATTACGTCTCTTGCGTACCACCTTCGTTTGCTCAAATCCTCACCAGTTAGTTTTCGAATATAACGCGTCGTCGTGATGTTTTAATCGATGTAAGCATATTCCTTAAGTCATTCTATATCTCGATGTGAAATAACAATGAAGCTATGATATTGGTTAACACGCCAGAAATTAACATAATATTATTCGAAGCGTTATTAGAAAACTTTGAATCCGCCATTTTTGTTTATCGATTTGGACCAATCAGAGACGTACGTCATCTCAATACAGGTTTACATTATATAAATGCACGTCATCTTTGAACTCTGGTATTAACACCCCCGCCCCCCCCCCCCCGGTAGGGGTGTGGAATGTTTTGGCCTTTGGAGCATGTTTTGCAAATGGCCATCACTAGTGATTGTCCGATGAAACTTAGTGGTACGAAAGAACATTGAATATAGTCTAATCGTGACAAATATAATCTTAAACCCATGCTGGATGACCGATGACTGAACATACATTTGTTTGGGTTACCTTTTTGGCTCACCCTGAACATTGTTCACAATGCACTCTGCAGTAGAATTCTTTATCGGGTATAAGAATATATATAGTGTGATGTATTTCAGTATAAATGTAGACGTTTGGCATCAAGGAGGATTGGCTCCCAGGATCGAAACTCGATTTTTTCCAACAATGAAAACGTCGAAATGTTATTTTCTGAAACCGACTATAAATTCAAAACAAACAGTTCAAAAGATTCGATTCAGAATTAACGTCAGGAAATATAACCAAAATTCACGATTCAAATGTTGAAGTGAACAAAATGGCGGTTTTTTGAATTCGAATTTTGTATCACGACATCCCCATATATGGGACAGAATACCGATGTTGCATTCTGGGAGCCAATCCTCCTTGGGAGCCAATCCTCCTTGACATGTAATTATGTGGTTTAGATCCAAAATGCATAAATTTGTATGTATATTATAGGAATATCCTATGGTTTTGAAAAAATATCATTTATATCCATGAGTGGATATTGATATCTTTACGAGTGAGCGCAGCGAATGAGTGAAGATATTTATATCCATGAGTGGATATAATTGATATTTTTGAAAAACCATAGGATTGTCCGTTTATCCCATGGGAAATCTTAACCCAGCGAAAAAATGGTAAAAAAATTTTTTTTAAAAAGGTTTCGAAAAAAATGTTTGAAAAAAGAATTTGAAGGAAAACATTTTTGAAAAAAGATTTGAAGGTTTCAAAAATTTTTTGGGAAAAAATATTTGAAAAAAAATTTTGAAGAAAAAAAATTTTGAAAAAAAAAATTTAAAGGAAAAAAATCTAAAAAAATTTTTTAAGAAAATCTTGAAAAAAAAATTTAAAATTTTAGAAAAAAATTGTACAAAAAATTATTGAAAAAATCTAAACCATCGAATATCACTTTTGAAACCATCGAATATCACTTTTGAAACCATCGAATATCACTTTTTGAGAAGTGATATTCGATGGTTTGGGGATTTTTTGCTAAAATATGATATCTTGATCCACATATCAAATATATCTTCACCTGATATTCGATATATATCCTTGTAACCATTGGATAAAAACATATATGAGCACACAGCTTGACCATTTTTTAATAAAATAATGTATTTTTCTTTTGTGAATTAAAACCTTGCATGGAATATACAGGGTGTCCCAGAAGTAATGATAATTATGCTCTTAAATTTGTATTTGACAAGGAAACAATATGAAATTCATACAAATTAAAGTTTAAGATATAAGCTTCATTTTGCTATATTACATTTATGAATTTATACAAAAATATTCCATGTATAGTTGCCATAGCAACATGTATGCGTGTTCTGCGGAGCAGTTTCCGTATATTATAAATGTTCAAACTTAGTTTAGAAAAGCAGTTATTCTGTGATAATGTTTCAAGCTTTTAAATCATTGTTATGGTAATTGTATACAGTTGCATGATTTCATAGTGGTTTAATATTATGTAATTTATCTCATTGTGACAGGATTATCACTTTAATCTGATATTATGACATCACATGATGATGTCATATAGGGTTTCACAAAAGGAAAACTCTTAGGAACACAACCTAGGAATTTCCAGGGAGGTTTACATTATGCTACCAACGTTGAGCAAAGATGAAAAATTAGAGCAGAGAGCAGTCATAAAATTCCTTCAGAAGACAGGGGGTAAACCCAGTGACACTATAAAGGAGTTTAAACAAGCATATGGTGAGAGAAGACTGTCCAACCCCACTGTGTATAGGTGGCATAAACACGAGAGCGAGGCACAATTGCGCCACTCGGTTCAGTAGGCTCTGTAGGATATGTCCAACAGTGGTTTTGATCATGTCTTCCAATCCTGGCTGGAAAGGCACAGACAAATTTTTCCAGCAAAGGACAGTATGTGGATAAGTGAATCAACAATGTACAATGCTCTTAAGGAATATCAGGAATGAAGTAGCAGCATTACAGTAGTGATGTGAACAGCAGGGAAACATATGAACATGAAATGTTTTTCAAAAATGTATGAAAAACACACAGCTGCTCCGCAGAACGCGCGTACATGTTGCTATGGCAACTATACATTGAATATATTTGTGTAAAGTAATAAATGTAATATAGTAAAATGAAGCTAACATCTTGATCTTTAATTTGTGTGAATTTCATATTGTTTCCATATCAAATAAAAATTTTAGAGCATAATTATCATTACTTCTGGGACACCCTGTATTTTACCAGTTTATATACTATCATTTTGTTCTTAACTTTGTCAAACCTTATTATTTGTATCATTGCTTGTATTCTATATAGGAAATAAACAATTATTATTAAAAAAAAAAAAAAAATCATATGTTTGATTCAGTATGATGTTTCAACGGTGCAATAATAGTATATTATACAACAATTTGTTTATTTAACAAACATTGTCTCATTTTATCTAACTCAGTTAGATATGAATGGAATAGTGGCAGGTACTATTCATATTGAAATGAATTGCCAATAAAATCTGACAGCCGACAGCCGAAAGTTGCATTCGTGAATACAAGCTCAAGATAGCAGCGTTTCTTGCTGATTTATCAATTTATTTTGTGCTTTAGATTATGTAACGTACCTTAACACAAAGTACACGAAGAAAACTCATTTAAAGGTCAAATAAAGCAGTGGATTCGTTCATTTGTGAGGGGGGGGCTTTATCTTTCGAATTGAAAAGGAGAGACTTTTCATGACCTAATGTTTTCTATGAATAAAAAAGTAATAAAAAAAAGTTTTTGCTCTGGGTATAATATACAGCCTTGAAGCTCCGTCCGTTTCAATTAATCAATTTCTAAGAAAACAGCACTTTTATTTTAAAATGTAATCATTTCCTTATTATCTGGGGGTTGCACTTTTCTAAAGAAAGGTTTGTGACATGGGCCGCTTCGTGCATTTGTTCATTAAGTTGGAACAATTTTTACATTATGCATTTATTGTACTCGAATATAATTAAGGATTTAAGCCCTGTACTCAGTGCAATGTGGAATGACTTAAACATGAACTTATCATTTTATCGGTTTCATTAGAATCTAGGAGTAACCTTGGGTGAATTGTTGGTTATATAATAGAATGAAGTTACGTGAAATAGCGTGTTCTGATTGGCTGGTATTGGACAAGCCTTGTCTAGCTATGTGTGAAGTGACTACAATTATTTTATCATCTTTATTTCTTATCACGTAGGTTATGCACTGGTGATCCACTCGATTACGCTGGTTACCAAAACGAACCGTTTTGGTAACAAAATGTCGGACCGTCGAAGGCACGATTTTTCTTTTTTCCTTATTTCACGCGTTGTAGGCAGAATCCCCACGACGTTTTTTCTCACTACGTACATCAGTATCATATGTTTTAGAAAATGTACATGTTTGCGAAAAAATAGCTCAGAGGACAACAGAATCGTCGATTTTCTTCCTCACTTAAGTTACATAAACGGTTTTTCGAAAAACAGTTAAGATCTGCACTTTTAACCCAAACCGTTTATGTAACTTAAGTGAGGAAAGAAAATCGACGATTCTGTTGTCTTCTGAACTATTTGTTCGCAATATATAAAAGCCTGACAATGTTTGGTTCCTAACTTTCATGAATTGCAAAAATATTTTGGAAATCTATCTAGCCTTTGAAAAATGAATCTTAAGCGGACTTCAAATAGCCAAACTTACTAAGGGGAGTGAGTGTAAATCTAAGGCCCTTGTCTTTTTAGTGACCAAGAGCAGTGGTGGATCTAGAAGCTATCAAGGGGGGGGGGGGGGTTGAGTCAGTAAAACGTTTCAGCGCTTGCGTGGAAATAAATTTTGGGCCCCCAAAACCAAATATTGGGCCCAAATTTTAAAAATTTAAGGCCCATTCTTTGAAAATTTGGCCAGCCAAATTATGCCGAAAAAGGCCCATTTTTGAGGCCCTACAACATTTCTGGGCTTTTGGGCGCATGCCCCAATATATTGATATTGACCTTAATTTTTTCAAGTATTACATCAAGCCCATGTTTCTCTCATACATGCACCCATGGTGGAGAAACAAATAAAATGTATTTTGTAAGGATGGTAGTGTAATTAATTACCTATCTTATCTAGAGAGAGAGAGAGAAGGGTGACAGGGTTCAGAGAAGACATAATGTAAATGTGTATTGAGATAACATCGTCGCTAATTGGTCAAATGGAGAGACTTTATTTTCAAAAAATATTTTGAACAGTATTATGTTAATTTCTATCATAGATTGTTCTTTTACATCAAGAATAAGGACAATATAAGGAATATGTTTACATCGATTAAAACATCACAACGACGTGTCATGTTAAAACTAGCAATTGAGAATTTGGACAAACGAAGGTAGTAAGCAAGAGGCGTAATTATCTGTATCTCAAAGATTCGAGGTTTTCTCTCCTTTTTTGTAGGAGAGTATGTAAACCTACCATTACTGCCATCTTTAAATTAGCCTAAAACGTATGCAAATATGGGAAGGTAAAGCCATGATGCAATAATATGTTTGTTCTCAATAATAAATATATTAATTCATCTGTTATATATCTATTTATTTATATCTCATATTCCTCATATATTAAATACATACAGTAAAGTATTCAATTAAAATATGGTGTCAATTATAAATCTAGATCACATTTTCAATACAGTACTCAATTAAAATATGTTGGTAATTCCAAACTTAGATCACATTTTCAATACAGTACTCAATTAAAACATGTTGGATACAGTACTCAATTAAAACATGTTGGAAATTATTTACTTAAATCAGATTTTCAATACAGTACTCAATTAAAACATGTTGGAAATTATTTACTTAAATCACATTTTCAATACAGTACTCAATTAAAACATGTTGGAAATTATTTACTTAAATCACATTTTCAATACAGTATTCAATTAAAACATGTAGGATACAGTACTCAATTAAAACATGTTGGAAATTATTTACTTAAATCACATTTTCAATACAGTACTCAATTAAAACATGTTGGTAATTATATACTTAAATCACATTTTCAATACAGTACTCAATTAAAACATGTTGGAAATTATTTCCTTAAATCACATTTTCAATACAGTAAACTCAGTTAAAACATGTTGGGCTTCAGCGCCAGCACGTTCAAACTAGGCGAGTAGGTGCCATAGCCACGAGGTTGCGAGTTCGAGACGGGTGTGCTCCTTGTGTTTATTCATTCATTGGAAATTATTTACTTGAATTGAATTTTCAATACAGCACATCCTTTGGCATATTTGTAGAGGTAAAACAGGGGGAGATCGTCTTACCAGATTTCAGATACTTTTGTTGAAAAAAAGAAGTGCAAACACATATCTTTGTAATGATAAATTAAAGTTCCCAACCAAGGCATCCCCTTTATATATCACTGTTTTGTACTTTGGTATGTACACATATTTGGCAAATATGTACATTTATTTTATATGTAATATCTACAGAGTTTAAACAATCAAAAACAGTTATCCTTCCATGTGACACTTACATGAGAACAAGCCTGTAGCCAAGATTTGCCAAGGGGGTTCACTTTCTAAACATTCCAGCAGGGGGGGGGAGTTATCTTAATCTGTATGCCACCAATATAGATTTTGAAGCTAGAAACTCAAAAAGCGGATGTCCACTTTTTCATAAGATTCCCTGCAGATATACAGAAAAGAGGTCAGATAGAATTACGAGATGTCCAATATGTGTCACCATTCATATCTCAGGTCTTTTTGATAGGTTTATAACCGTCCACTTTTTTAATCATGGTCCCCTATCATATCATAACATACAGTTAAGACCCATTCTGGTTTACCTGCAGACGGGGCGCAGTTATATATCATGATGATTACCCCTGTGTTTGAATCATGTTCAATTCAACTGACTGAAATTCACTAGACATTGTGTGCCAATGTTCGTATCTCATGTTCGTATTACATGTATGAGGTTCGTAATCATCCAATGTTTCAATCAGGTCTCCTATCCTCCTAGCATATCATAACATACGATTAAGACCCCTGTATTTGAATCATATTTAATTCACCTCCGGCTGTAGTTCACTAGACAGTATGTGCCAATGTTCAATCTCATGTTCGTATTACATGTATGAGGTTCGTAATCATCCAATGTTTCAACCAGCCCTCCTATCCTCCTAGCATATCATAACATACGATTAAGACCCCTGTATTTGAATCATGTTCAATTCACCTCCGCCTGTAGTTCACTAGACAGTGCGTGCCAATGTTCATCTCAAGTCTTATCAATAGGTTCATAATCATCCAATGTTTTGATCAGGTCTCCTATCCTCCTAGCATATCATAACATACGATTAAGACCCCTGTATTTGAATCATGTTCAATTCACCTCCGCCTGTAGTTCACTAGACAGTATGTGCCAATGTTCATATCTCATGTTTGTATTACATGTATGAGGTTCGTAATCATCCAATGTTTCAATCAGGTCTCCTATCATATCATAACATACGATTAAGACCCCTGTATTTGAATCATATCTAATTCACCTCCGGCTGTAGTTCACTAGACAACGTGTGCCAACGTTCATATCTCATGTTTGTATTACATGTATGAGGTTCATAATCATCCAATGTTTCAATCAGGTCTCCTATCATATCATATCATACAATTAAGACCCCTGTATTTGAATCACATCTAATTGACCTCCGGCTGTAGTTCACTAGACAACGTGTGCCAACGTTCATATCTCAAGTCTTTATTTTTGATCGTTTCAAACCAGTGCCGTAGTTTCATCCCCCTGGCTGCAATACCAAGCTGTACACCACCTGAAATGGAGAGTTGATGTGTAGGAGCATGACCTCTTAATCAGGGAGGAAATACCCAGAATTCCTAGATGAACCCATAGCTTTGTGAAGATGAATCTCTGAAGGTTCATCTCATATGGAGAAAGATTCATCTTCTGGGGAATTCTGGGGTATTGCTCCCTTTAACCTGTTCAAATTAAAGCATTTTTTAGTCAAAATAATTTCACAAATGCTGTCTCAAATTGACCATAGCTTAGACTAACAGGTGTAAAATATGGTACACTCCCATCAAAAATTTGGGAATTTTTTTAAACAAGATGTTAATGGTGTTATGTTTGAATTTCTCATTCAAAGTCCAGTCACAATTTCCAAACTTTTGTAGGGGAGTGTACGTATTGCTACAGTTAACATGTACATCTGAAAATGAAAATAACATTTGAGACACAAAGTTGAGAAATTATTCTTCTCTAAAAAGTCAGTATTCTCTACTTCAACAAATCCAAATTAAAGTCAACTAGATGATTATTAAAATATAACTGAGTTAAAAGAATATTCAAAATGATGCATAAGATGGAAAACACAATAAAAAATTAAAATGTGAGTACAATATTCAACAACATTCTAAAACAACAAGTTAATTCTCACTACAGATATTAACATCACAAAACTTTTTTACCTACTTTTTCAGTTGCATATGACAAATTGTAAGCTTAAGCCCGGGTTGAAATATTAAATTGGTTTGTTTATCACTCCCATTTTCAACTTCCCATGTTCAACCGTAACAAAATATGCGATATACATTTTTGGGACTGTTTATTGGTAAAATTTTCAGAAGGGCATTCAAGAAGTTGAAAAGTCGTTAAGACTAAGGGAAGAGCTCCATTATCCCAATGCTGGGGGAAGGTGATAGGAAGACTTGAATAATTTTATATTAGGCTATAGTCATGTACCTAAACACACCTTAATTATAATTAATTCTTGGGAATCTTAAGGGGAAGAGAAGTCTCCAGGGCTAAGGGAGAGAGGCCAGGGGGAAGGTTGTTGTTATCCAATGGGGGATGGGGTGGAAAGGGGTCTTTATTATATTTAATATATAGGCTATAGTACCTAATTACATCTTAATGGTCAATTCTTGGCTGGTCCAGGGTCAAATTGTGCCATTTTTGGTGTTCTTTGTCTGGGTATTTCAACGCCTCAAACCAATGTTTCAAACACTTGCCCTTGGACTGAATCCCAAGCAATAGGCCCCCTGTATGGAAACAAATATACCTAAATACAGGGTGGGTCAAAATTGTCCATATTTTTAGTTGTGCTTTTTTAAATGCATGGATTTTAAAATATGTCTGTACAGGAATGTACCAATTAATTATAAAATTGCGCCACAATTACAAAAGCGATTCATGAAACGCCATCAAAACTATTTGAAAATCCATGCATCATTAAAAAAGTCATCACAAAATAAAAAAAATAAAATCATGGACATTTTTTGGCCAACCCTGTACATGTACTGCAAATATCATCGTGGCCATGCTAACACAAAACATTAGATCATGCTAAATATCTGATTTGTCAGTTTTATTGTGAAGCTTTCAGTTCATGACCATTATTTTATTCCTTGCTAATTCCACTCTAGCTTTTTTCACACTATTTTGTGTTTTTAATCACGACCATTCTGACTATACTACTACTATACTACAGCACTACACAGTCCCATAGCTAAAGGGGGGTTGATATGGGTTCATTCTGAACACTTCTTAAGTGATTTTGGCCACTTTTGGACCAAAATTGTCAAAAGTAAACCCCCCTTGGCAAATCCTGGCTACGGGCCTGACTAAAGCATAAACCTGAGTCTGAACACAAAATATTGAGATTATTTTATTCATTCGGAAATATACTTAATGTGAAATTGAGACTTAAAATTGAGACTTGTGCAAAGAGGGGAATACTCAAGAATTCGTAGATGAGCCCATCTCCATTTAGATAAATGAACTTCATTTTCACAATTCTCGTAGATATGGGTTCATCTAGGAATTCTGGGGTATTTCCTCCTCTGCAATATACAAAACTTCAGGATGGAATTATGGGATGTGGAGTGTAAAAATAATGGTATATTTCTAAATAAGGGCATGTATATGTGTCTCATAACAAAATGTGTTCAATTTGACAGGTTTAACTGTGGTGATTTTTCAAGAAATAACTGTGCACTTTAATTATAAAATGTGGATAAAGAGGAGGAAAAACTCCAGAAGATGGAGATACTTGGTTCATTTATCTGGATAAAGAGGAGTACCAACAAGTCAATTATGAGTACAATTTTTCATCGGTTATTTCTTGGTTTATCATGATATGTTATACAGACATATATACAGGGTGTTCCACAAATACACCATTTTATCTGATTTCAAGATTTAATGTCTCATGAGTATTCTAGAAAATAACAACATGGTTGATGATTCTATATAATGGTTATTTGTGGTATAGAATTTCAGGAACACCCTGTATTATCAAGAAAAATGAGACTGACTGAATTACAGAATAATAAAGCGTGCAGACTTAATACGTTACTGGAAAGGAAAATATTCTTTTGAAAAGTTATATATCAAAGATTTTCCAAAACAGTAGTACAGGGCGAGCCAAAAAAGGCAACCCAAAGAAAAATTTAGAATAATTAACATTCAACATGAGGGAGGTTTTATTGTGCCAAATATGATAACAAACCCATGTTAATAGACTGAGTTATTAATATTTCATTCGGTAACCTATTTTTGGCTCACCCTATAATAACCAAGTGTTAATTGCACAATATTAATCTAGTTAATTTTACTAAACAGAGTGCATACATATAACCAATAGCTCAACATTAAAGTGTGATCAAGCGCAACATTAAATCTAGGCATAACTATTTCAAATTATTTATCTTAAGCTACATCCACTCCATACTTTAAGATTTTATTTTCAAAAATAGGGGCAATAGTATCTTTACTTCCGGGACACTCTGTATAGGGTAAACCTTCAATAAATTGAAATTAGGCAACTACAGTGGCTATGTTGTGATGTTTTTGCTTCATCTGATACTGAAATAATTTTATCTGATATTTCTCTTGAAGATTTAACCTGCCAGGACCACCAAATTAGCTGCTTTACTTGCAAAGCATTTGGAATGATGATCTATTAAGAAATGGCTGATAGTCACAGGCCCGTAGCCAGGGGGGGTTCGCAGGGTTCGGACGAACCCCCCCTGGCCAAAAAATCTTTCAAAATCATGCAGTTTTTCACCATTTTGAGCACTTCTCGAGTGATTTTAGCCATATCTGGGCCAAAATTGTCAAATGTGAACCCCCTGGAAATTATTGAAAACTGAACCCCCCCTTGGCAAATCCCGGCTACGGGCCTGAGTCATGTATATTGAAATACAAACCAATATAATCGTTTGCTTTTCCCAGATCATGGTCCCAGACAGTAACCTCAAGAGTCTTCTTGGCTAACTCATTGTGCTTAATTTCATAAACAAATTCCTGAAAATAAAATTCCTGATATAAAATATGACATACAGGAAATAGAACATTACAAACAGATTGATGAACATGCTTGAACATTGATGAACATATGTATTTAAGATCTTGGCTAATAAGGCTATTGCCCAGCCACAAACTTGCAAATGTATTTATTGTACATGTAGTATTTTTGTGAAATTAATAAATAACATATAAAGAGTGTGTGTGTTTGATGTACACTTACTTCATTGAATTCTGGGTTGAGGGTTTTCTTTTTGACTGCAGTCTTATGTTTTGATTTCTTGTCTTTGTCAGGTTTTAAATATCTGAAAGAACATTATTTATGAAGAGTAATATGAAATATCACGTATATGTGAAATGAATTAGTCGGTTATTATGCCATATTTTATTTATATTTCTAAATGGATTTGTTTTTCATTTTTTATTTGTTCCTTTTTATACACGACATACTTAAGTCAGAAATTTAAAAAGTACAAGATATCAACAAAAGCTGTCACAAGCAAAAATCACATACACTTTAACATAAGGGTCAGAATAGCCATTACTATCCATTGAGGCCAGTTCTGCACAGCGTATTATAGAAACATGGAGGGCTTGTTTGTGGGTGGAGTATTTCAATGCTATCAGTATCTTCCCCCTCTCATGGGATATCAGATCATCATCCCTTTCCATCTGAAAACAGATACTTGAAGTTAGTTCTCTTGTTATACTTTACAAATAGTTTATCATACAATTTATTTAAATACATGCATTCATTACTCTTGTTAAACTTTGCAAACAGTTTATCGTACAATATACATGAACAGGGCTCTTGTTGTAGTTAACAAATAGTTTATCATACAATATTTTTTCATTTGGTATATTGCAAAAAATGCATTTATTTTGAGAAAAAACTATGTGACTTCAAAAAGTTGGGAGAAATTGATGTTTCTATGATTTTGCATGACACATTATTCTTTTGAATGGTAGATAATCAATTTGCATGATACATAATCCTTCTGCATTAATTCATTATCAAAACAATAATATTTCTATTTATTATATACCCAATATGTAACATTAATCCTGATTGGACGATACCTAGTCACATGTCCTGAAATAGATTTACTATTTCCCTTTGAAAGTTATATTCCCTCAAATGAAAGAAATGGGAATATACATTTGAACTAATTTACACTATTGCCCTCAATGGCAGTCACCATTTGTACAATAAGACATCAAAAAATGTAATCCACTTACTGGGGACTGTTTTTCTAAGAACACATTAAAAGATTTTGTTTGCTGTGCTTTGAGTTTCTTCAACTGGACCTGAGTTTCACCAATAAAATCTGACCCGAAGGCATCTTCATCTAAGACTGCGAGCCTGAAAATACAGAAATAGGTGTCTAATTGTATCTGCATTTCTTTATACAGTGGAACCTGCATATCTGAACATGGGAACACTTTTAGGTGGTCCAAGCGACAATCTAATACAGTTGACATGGAAATCATAGCAGGACTTACCTCAAAAATGATCTCAAAATACAGTAGTCTTGCATAAATAAAAGCTCTTTAATAATATAGTGTAACAGGAGAAAACTAGAGCAATTCTGAAATCCTCACATAAAGGTGTAAGACTTTCTTGTATAATTTTCCTTAACAATTGATTTATTGTCTTTGCAGCTATCTAATGGGAGATTGATAATTAAAGTTTAGACTTTGAATTCCCTGGGCCCTCGGAAAATATCATATTGTCCCTTGGAATAAAACCCATATTCAATCACTCCCATTAAATAACATCTATTTCATTCCTACCTGAGTGCTTTCCTTGACATATCATCTTCTGTTATACCATGGTACACCAGTGTTTCATTCCATTCTGGGCTCAGGGTCTTTGGGATTGTTTTTGTACGCCTCTTGTTGGCTTTACTGGCCCCTGGGAGCAGGTGGACTTTAACATATGGGTCTGAGAGTCCATTGGAATCCATAGCTTTAAGACCCTACAATTCAAAATACAATGTAAAATCTAAGCTCTAGAGTAGACACATCAAAGTTACAGTTGCCTTGGAGATTAAAGGCAAGGGGTGACTCAGAACATCTTTTCTGTTATTATACAGAAGGAAAATACGGATTTTATGCATGTTAACTGTAAGGGCATATGAAATCATGAAGAAAGTTTTGGTCCATCCTATTTGATATTTGAATAATCCTGGCTTGCTCTATTGAGCTTTTGGTTTTGCAAGAATTTTATATAATTTTATATTCATATATTCATATCTTTTATACATTCATTATTTACACCAACACCTGAATGAATGAACTGTTACTTTGTCTTGAGCTGTAAATATGTTCTAAAATATAATCGTACACAATCGTTGAAATATCTTATGTAATAAAAAACTTACTCTGCCTCTGGCAATGTTTATCTTGAGTGCATTATTCACTGCATCATACAGGATTGAGAATTCTAAAGTGCCCAGAGAACCTAGAACAAATAAACACATGTGAGTCATCATTTCAATATAATGTATAAATGGTGCATCGTTTTTGTTTCACCAATTCTGAATGATCTCTAATTTTGGTTACTTGATCTCCAAACTTTTAACGACCTTCCAAATTCTCACATGGGTGCAAAATGATTCTCAAATACTCAAATGGGTGCAAGACGATTCTAAAATGAGTGTATAAGGCCATTCTCAAGGTATCAAATGAATGGACTATTAAGTTGCTGGAATATGAGATCATCATATTATGTAATGGTAGAGGGGCAACATTTTGGGAAATAAAAATTAAGTTCCCTGAGTGAGTAAATGTCAAAAAATATTGTTTTGAATTCACAATTCATCATTCCCAGGCAGTTTCATTCAGTGCGTAATCTACCAAGAAAAAACAAAGATATGAAATCACAATTTTACACATTTTCTAACATCAGTTAGCATGTTCAGGTCACAAATGAATCTGGAATTCCTTGATAATAAAGAATACACAGAAGTGAAGAGGAATGATGCACTGGATGAAACGTTGGGAGATTAGAAATAAAAATTATCAAATGATAATAACATCATATCTAAAAGCAAGTATGATGCATAAAGGCCTCAACTATGGTAACAACTGAGTTACACGATGTTGTCAACCTACACTAATCCATCTATAGTACGCTCATGATATGTTAAGACATACCAAATTGGGAGAGTGTTTGAGGCAAGGTGAAATCAATTTCTTTTTTCTTCAAAGCATTCTACTGTAGCCCTATCTACTCCCTTCTCATAGTTAAGAGTGCATAGTCATTGAAATTTGCATCACTTTAAAAATAAACTCCAATAAATGTCTGTTATAATAGAAAGTGTTTCTCCCTCTCCAAAAGGGATTTTTTTGTTAATATAACATTAACATGTGACCTAGCCCATAAGCACTTTAGTTAAAGCACCATTCCAAGGTTTGTGTAAGTCCCCCCCCCCCTACATGGTGAGGGTAGGATATTTCAAATACAGTATTGTAAAGGGGATGGGATTCTGACAGAGTACTTTGTCCCATCTATTGTTGATTTCAGAGTAGAAAAAACTGACTCAATCGGGGAAATTGACTCACAAGGTTGCTCCCAGGGTAGAGGAGCCTCATGCAAACCTTTGAACATATGACTATATAGGGTCAATTACAATAAGCAAGAACTTAAGTAAACTACAATATGAAAGACAATAAGCAAGAATTAAAGTAAACTACAAAATGAAAGTATACATAAGTTAAATAAAAAAAGGTAGCAAATATGAGAATCAAATTGATTATCTAAATATGTAAACCCTTTCTCCATCACCGCTAGTCTACCCCTAGTCTACAACTCACACAACACAGGGTTAAAGGAACATGGTAAATGTCTTCTCCTCTCCTGCAACATGCTGATTCTCTTAGCCATCTTTTCTGTGTTCATACAACATGAATATGATAAACAATGGAAGAAACAATCTTGTCTGGAGATCTGACATATTTGCATATAAAATTAGCTATATGAACATAAGTAAACAATAAATGTAACTAAATGAATAATATGTGAACATAAATGAACACTCATGAATAATATATGAACATAAACGAACAATATATGAACATAAATGAGCCCTCATGAACAATATATGAACATAAATGAACACTCATGAACAATATATGAACAATCATTATTCTTCTATATATCGAAATGCCAGATTTCTAGACATTTTCAATGAAAAAATATTTAAAATGGACAACACATAACTGAAAATAAAACATGCACATCAAAAAACTAAATGCTAATGAATAATGACAGATAGAAGGCAACAAATTCAAGTAAATTTACTTCAAAACATATGATGGAGTTAGTCATGAAGAATTCACTGTTTTCGGGACACTTTCTTCTCATGCCTCTTGTTCTACATTTGCATTCCCTGACATACATAGGCATTTGAACTTTGTAAGATAAAATAACGCAAAGGAGACCAGCTATTCCTTCAACTAAACACAAATTACATAGCAGGGTTAAAACTCACACATGGCTGCCATTGGTAATCATTTTTTACACTTGGAAAACGAGTTGCCTCTTGAGCAATCATTTTTCAAACTTATTCCTTAACTCTGACATAGGCTTTCAAGAGCTGTTGAAACCCCATGACTCTGACAAAGCAGAATACTGGCTATTCCAAAGATTATACAGTTTTCTACTAAATGTACTTACTCCCACTATCAGAGTCGGGTGAGGAAGGAGGTGTGTCTTCATTGACACCATATTGGTTGAAAGCACTGTCAATATCATCTCCTGTGTTTGTCCGTGAATGTGCAGGATTTTGTGACCGCAAGGAACTGTTACGACTAAAACCTGTAAACAGATTTTTCAATGTTTATGCATAGAGGCTAAGAGAGGAGAACGGTAAAATGGAGAAAAGACATCCTTCAACATTATATATCAAACTTATAGCATCAACATTTCTCACACATTTAATATTTGACTTTAATATAACCTCAATGAATTTTCAATCAAGGCATTAACGTGCAAAATGTTACCACATGCCCATCGTTACAGACACTGACCACTGCCTGCCAAATGTGAAATGCTGACCACCACGTGCCGATCACCATCCACAAAAAATGTGGAGACTATAACAATATATCTCCACTTGTGGTGGTAAAGTAAGTGATATTCTGAAGTAATATGCTGGTATTTTGAATCACACTGTGGACCTTTTACATAAACCACACTTGCTAAATACTTGAGGCTCTAGCTGTGTTCAAAAATAGAGTAAAAGAAACAGATTATGAAGAATAAAAAAAAAATCTATATTTTATAATTGGATGTCCATATTGTGTATTCAGATATGTGCATTCTGGAGTTTTTAAAATTCAAAGTTTTAATTACTGTGAAGAAAGCCAAGCTGTAAACAAATTCTAAATTCATCAGAACATTTCCTGCATTTGTATTACAATCTCAAAAGCTCTAATGAGACAATAAAAAAGTCAACAAATGAATTAGTATAATGCCATTGTTAAAGTCAAATAATGTTGCAATTCAACTTCACCAAACATTTGGAAATCATATATAACTGAAGGGTATCAAAAAAGAATAGGAACAGTATTAATGTAATTGTTACATATGTTAACTTTGTTGACACCCTGTATTAAGTGCTTTGTTGTGATTGATGTGGTAATAAAAGTGTGGACTGATCCATCTAAACTTTGGTAACACCCTGTACATAGTACTTATGTAGAGATTATGTGGTAGTATAACTGTGGAAGCAAACATCTAATATGATATTTCAAAAATATAAGCCAAACTTTATACTTTTTCATAAATTACAGAATCCATAGAGGCTGGAAATTAAATACATATTATATTGTTACAATATACATTATTTAAAATGTAAACTACATTGTACTAGGATTAAAGGAGTGTGTACAGGCCTGTGCCAAACTTTTCTTCATTTTAAAAAAAATGATTGTACACACTCATTGCATCCCATCATATATGCCTTCTGCTCTCTGCATTCACAAATTGCCCATTCAAGTAATACTGGATAATATCACATGTTTATGAGTTTCTTAGCCACCTGATTGGTCAATTGGGATAACGTATATACTTAATGCTATTACTATGGCTACAAAGATTAATATTGCTGACCCAAGTGATACAAGATTATATCACACGTCTATCAGTATCTAAGCCTTCTAAATGGTCACCACACTGCTTACCTTGTGTTGATATTTCACTGTCAGAATCTCCATGGAGACTGCCCCGACTGCTCTCTGTGGCACTTAACTGTGCCGCCCCAGTGATACTTGACTGACTGGCTGCACAGTAGAGGTTGTTATTTGCACTGTTCACACTCATACTGTCCACCTCTGGAAAAAGATTTTTTTAATCATACAAATTTTATTTCACTAAACTCCGTACATACAGTTCCATATAATCATGGGAAAAAGGGAAAGTGGACTTTGATGTGTTTCACTATAGAGGAGCTTCACTTAGAGAGGCGTTCCACTTTACAGGTATAACTGTGCCATAATTTTAACTAATATGAGGAAGAAGGAGAGCTTATTCATTGAACTTGAGCACTTACCAGAATCTAAGGAGGTGACATTGTGTTTAGATCTACCTATGCTTATGTCATCATCATCTTCTGATTCCTCTTCAGAACTTGAGTTAGAGTCACTGCTGTCTCCATAGTTATCTAAACAACAAACATTAACTTGAGTTAGAGTCACTGCTAGCTGTCTCCATAGTAATCTAAACAACAAACATTAACTTGAGTTAGAGTCACTGCTAGCTGTCTCCATAGTAATCTAAACAACAAACATTAACTTGAGTTAGAGTCACTGCTGTCTCCATAGTTATCTAAACAACAAACATTAATTTGAGTTAGAGTCACTGCTGTCTCCATAGTTATCTAAACAACAAACATTAACTTGAGTTAGAGTCACTGCTAGCTGTCTCCATAGTAATCTAAACAACAAACATTAACTTGAGTTAGAGTCACTGCTAGCTGTCTCCATAGTAATCTAAACAACAAACATTAACTTGAGTTAGAGTCACTGCTGTCTCCATAGTTATCTAAACAACAAACATTAATTTGAGTTAGAGTCACTGCTGTCTCCATAGTTATCTAAACAACAAACATTAATTTGAGTTAGAGTCACTGCTGTCTCCATAGTTATCTAAACAACAAACATTAATTTGAGTTAGAGTCACTGCTGTCTCCAAACAAGACACACAGCTACAAATATCACACTATAATGAGCAAGATGGCCACCAAGTAATTAAAACCAAGTATGGTCAAAACCTAATCAGATGTTGGCACTTATTATCTGCTCTTGCATTTGTAATAATTTCTCGCTGTTAAAAATAAGGTATATGTTAAGTTAATGATGTTGAAAATAAAAACCATAAAATTAGTGGCTTATACTGTAGACAATATGGAAGTGTTGACAGATATTTAACCGAATACAAAAGACATTTCCCTACTTTTATTGGCCCTGCTCCATGTATTATATTGTCTTTGTTGAACTGGTTTCCCAGCACGCCGTAACACTTCTGGTTTACTCCTCCCAGCACCTAAACCAGTAATTGCACTACTTCCTGTATATTTAGTATCCCCACGTGACTTTGGAATGGTATATTTTGGCAGACCTTTGAAAAACCAGGCTCCGGATCGCTTCCAAAGCTGTAAGGCATAAGAACAAATAAAGAACATTATAATGACAAGGCATTAACATGCAAAATCACCTGTCAACTGCTGAACACGAAACACCAACCACCAAACACCATCACAAAAAAGTTGGAGACTATAACAATATGTCACCACTTGTGGTATAGATGACATAACAAACTTAAAGCAAAAATCAATATGGCCAATACGGTGAAAGATATATTTGAACACCACTCTAATCTGAACATCTCTCAATGTGAACAGTTTTTCAGTCCCAATATGTTATGTCCCACAAAGCCATCTATTAAGAAAACCTTGAAATGTGAACACCTGCTAATCCGAACACTTTTGGCTAATCCCAGTGATATCTGGATAAGACAGAGTTCACTGTGGTTTCTTATATTTCATTTCATTGGTACTGGGACAAAGTGTTCAGCTTAGCAGGTTTCCAGATTTGGAGTTTTTTTTTTTATATATATCGGGTGTCCCAAAAAATGAGCCACTTGTTGACAAGTATTTTCTCGGCAACTGATGAACCAAATTCACTGAAAATTTGTACAAAATTCCTTAAAAATATTGTTATTCTTTGAAGACTTTACTTGAGGCACTTTAGGCTATCTTCCAAGAGATTGGTAACATATTATGTGTATACTTTTGAATAAATGACATTATGTCAAAATAACCAATATCAATGTAGAAGAAGTCATTTATTAATTCATTTCCAAGCAAAAATACTTTTCTGTATTTATTCTAACAATATCACCTCACACAGACAGACACAGATATCACAAATATCACACAGACAAGCTATTTTGACTGGTTGACAGATATATGCTATCACCTGATAGCTGGTACAAACACTATGGAGGTCTCTTTGCAGAGCTCCAGTATGGGAATTTTTGACAAGCTATTTTGAATTTCTTAGTTCTCCCAGAATATTCACTTGATCTTCTTATATTCTTATATTCTTCCTAACCATACTCTTAGGCTACTTTGTACATGTTTTCAGTGAAGTTGGTTCATCAGTTGCCAAGAAAATACTTGTCAAAATACGGCTCATTTTTGGGACACCCGATTATTTGTACTGATGCCCTTTTAGGGCCAAATATACATCGAACAATAGAAAAAAGCATGTCCACTCGACACCTTTGTAATTGGGCGTATCAGTGCGTATATCAAATCATTACGAATTCTAAATGAGTCATATAAAATTATAAACAATAACAAATTATGAAATATATATTCTCAGAGCTACACGTTATTACTAAATCATGAAGATTGCTCATTGTTGTTTTATTTTGCTATAGCAACCATTACATGTAATAACAAATACATGACAAAAGTAACAAATTATCAACTAATTTATCATTTCAAACATTATTTATTTAATTGTGTAATGGAGAGTAAGACAATGATAAATCAACAAGAAGATGAAAAAAATTATGAATCATATCGTTATATCTATATATAAAGCGTGCGTACAACTACATTATATAATGAATGCATGCAATAATATTATATAAAGATGCATCCAATTACATTATGTAATAAATGCATGCAATTAATGATGAAAAACATGCATGAAATCCACTCAAAATAAATCATGAAATGCAAACTAAAAGATAAAAATATCAAATTACAATATAGAAGCATCTGAAATATTAGATGGAGGCAAAAAATCCAGAGTTGATATAAGGCAAGGCGTTAGTATTATACCTGTTTTTATTAGATATATAGTATTGTGATATTTAGTAATTTAATTATTCAGTAATGTGACATGTCGTCAATTTAGTAATCTAGTAATTTGATGTTTAGATATTAAGTATTTTTTTAACCAGTGAACAGTATCTGGAACTGAAAATCGACATATTCCATGGTTACAGAATTTTATTACAGGACTCAAAACGAGGCTTTATCAAGTAAAAAATGGCGGACCAAAAAACTGAAAGAAAAATTTATTCTGCCAAATTATAAAAATGAGAATTAAGCACCCGTTTTTGCATCGGAAATTATCATAATTTGTATATCAGGAAATTAGTTTTCATACTTGTTCAGCAATACAGAGCCAGGCAAACATCCTTTGTTTTGATTGTTTCTGTTGCACTTCACGTACAGGCCCTGGCACCCAGGTTTCAACAATATAATTCTCAAGAGGGAGCTCTAATTTTTGTATGGTGCCCTAAATTATTCATTTTTAGTAAAAAATTCCAAAACCAATTTCAAAATTCCAAAACATAATTTTACAAATGTTATGAATGATATTCTCAAAAAGCAAATTTTTCAGAAAAGGTAAGTAAATTGTTTTCTGGATTTAGGGCTAAGTGTCCCTAGCTATTGACATGTTAAATGACTTGGATTCTGGGAATATTTATGTTATGTTATTCAAATGTAGTTCAGCTTGCACATGAATTCATTATACATGTATATCAATTCTTGGATGACCTCAAAAAATGAAAAAGGAAGCAAATGGTTCCCATACCTCTCTATCCTCGCTACATATTTTACATAGCACCATAGCTTTTCGCTGCATCTTAGGGCTATGTATGGGGTTAATATCTACTGTACATTTCATGCAACACGCCTGTAATAAACACATGTTGGGTGATCTATTTGAAACAACAACTGAAAATACTATCGCTAAGCTACATCTACTGTACACATCATGCAACATGCCTAAAACATCCACATGCCGCAGGGGTGTAGCCAGGGCTGGGGGTACGGTGCGATTGGTGCTTCGCTCGCAGTGATGCAAACCCAAAAGGCTGCACCCCCCTTGATATTTGCTGGCTACGTCCCTGTGTCGAGTTATTACATCTAAATAACTATAGCATGTTGGTTATCTAATTGGCAGAAAAGACATTTATCACTATAACCTAAAGTGCAATCATGTAGCATGCCTAAACAACATTAATTACAACGATGACGTGCTGAAGAATACCAAAATACCATAAATAATAAAAATATGTGAAAGCATAATACATATGTAATAGGCATTGTTAAATTGTTATTTTAAGCAGATTTTTCATGTCGTGAATGAAAATCTCCAACTGCTATATCAGAAAGTGCCTGTGTTTATCTCATGCAATACCAAAGCCTAAAACGCAAACAAAAAATGTTAATAAAGAAATATGTAAAACTGAACTGATTATAAATGAATGATAAATGAAAATAAAATAAAAAATAGAGACAACCATGCAACAATATTAATAGATTTGTGCTAAAAAACAAATTCTGCGTTTTTTCTGTGACAACGCAGCATTACGGAATTCTACATAGTATCTGTGTATAAAGCATGCAACTATCTACCAATCCTACATTGTTACATTCAATGGCATGCATAGAGTATCCAAAGGCTGTGTTTAAGATGTTATGTACAAGGATAGAGATATGTTCAATATTCAACCACATGCAAATTAATCATAATTGGTATATGCAGCTACCGATGAAACACTCTAGCGTATCATAGTTTTCGAACCTGACACGAAAAAGTCAATATTAAGCAAGATATTGGCAATTTAAATTCAAAAATAATCACTGGCTCTGCCCCAGCCATGCACATGCCCGGTCCAATATTACCAGGCGTATTATCCCCCGCAATTGAAAATGGTCAGATATAACCCTAACCAGGAAGAATTGGAATTTTTGCCATCTTTGATTACAGTGCCTCCATGCCCTCCCTTATTATGAGTAGCTGCATATACCAAGGGTGATAAATACAACATAGTCCAGATGCTTAGTATTCAAGACTCTAACTGACCTCTCTCTTCTCACAACAGATCTTACACAACCAAAGTGGTTGTTTTTGACTGTTTACTGTTTCAAAGCCACATTTTGTACACACCGCCTGTAGGAAAAACATGTAAAAATAAGGATGGAGGTGCTTAAAGTGGGGGGTAGGAGTGCAGCAGAGTTGTTGTTTCTGACTGTTGACTGTTTCAAAGCCACATTTTGTGCACACCGCCTGTAGAAAAATATAAGATTAATTCATAAAGATGGGAGAGGTGTGCTTAAGGAGGGGGGGGGGGGGCGCAGCAGCTAGAGTTGTTGTTTGTGACTGTTGACTGTTTCAAAGCCACATTTCGTGCACACCGCCAATAGAAAAATATATGAATAATTTATAAAGATGGGAGAGATGTGCTTCAGGGGGGGGTTGTTGTTTCCTACTGTTGACTGTTTCAAATGCCACAATTTGTGCACACTGCCTGTGGTAGAAAACAAATAACCTGTGATTTCCTGAAACTTTGAAGGCAAAATTTATGTGGTGCCTACTCACCAGCACGCACGTCACACAGACGCATGCACACATGCCCACTAGTGCAATATGATGACAATATGGCATTTCAAAGGTTTCTATTTTTTCATAAAAATTTCAAATGAAATCCAACAAGTATAGGGTTATTGATTCCTGAAATACCAACACGATAATCTTTAAAAGTAATGAATTTTCCGCGAACTTATTGAACAACATGGTATATGGGAGTTACTACTCCTGGGCTAAAAGCAGGATTAATAATAGAGATACTGAATATGAAAATGTTGTTGATGGGATTCTTCTTGTTGACTACTGTCATGCTGTGTCTTTGATAGCTCCAGCAGAATCAGCCCTTGTGCTTGTGTGACATCTTATATACCTGGAGGATGTGGGAGGGGTAGTAACAGTTATATGGGATGGAGCTGAATCAGTCCTTGTGCTTGTGTGACACCTGATATACCTAGGGGAGGTAGGAGGGGTAGTAAGGGTTATATGGGATAGGAAAATACAATATCAATCTATCTTTCTGCCTTCAGAGATATATGGAATTTTAATAAAAAGTTCATTTCAAACACATGTTGCCTTTCATTGTTTAATAAATGAAATATTTCATTTGCAACTGCAAATTCTTTCTTTTATATGAATGTTAATAATTGGGTATTTTGCAAATAAAGAGAGGGGAATATCCCAGAATTCATAGATGACCCTATCTACGTATAATGAACATGGAGATAGGTTCGTCTATGAATCCTGGGTATGTCCTCCTTTTATGCAAATATAAAAGAAAGAATTTACAAATGCAAATCAAATATTTTATAGAACAAAAACAGACAACATATGCTAGAAATTAGCTTTTTATTAAAATCCAACATGTTTGTAATCTAGGGTCAACTTGACATTTTCATAAAATCAATACATGTAATTACAAAATTGTGTAAATTGGACATTAATTCTGGAAACATAAAATCATTCTGATTTATGCGAGCTGCAGACTTTCATCTATCGCACGGGTTCATTCTAATTGGAGAAAAATAAAGTGATGAGGCTTGAAGAATAGCAGCCTGAATCTCTGTATTCCAAGTTACACTCCCCTCCATAAGTTTGGCAAGATGAAATTGTCATCGCATAGCATATTAAAGCCTATGTATCAATCTAATTTTGTTTCTTGTACCAGAGTTGGGAAATTCAAAATAAATTTTATGGACTTTTTAAATGGCCACACATACGTAAATTGGCTAAAATAAGTGATTCAAATCCACTTTCCAAACTTATGGAGGGGAGTGTATATGAAAGAAAACAAAATCAAAATATTAATTTGACAATTTATAGTTCTGACATTTTAGAAATACTGTATTTCACTATTTAGTACTGTTTGATCACTATATAGTCTTTTATTCTGATTTTTAAATAAATACATCTAGTAAGTTATATTTTTCAATCTAATAACATGATATATATTTTCACATAATTATAATATCACTGTACCTTTTTGCAGTCCTCGCAGTGTGTTGAAGAGGCTGACATCAAACCAAAATGGTCTCCACAGAGTACACATTGTGAGGTCCCATTCCCAATACAATTCTTTTTCATATTGTCCAGCCTTTCTACCAAACGCCTGAAACAAGAACATTAAAAATGTCAATTGGAAGACCTCTATGAGTGGAACACCTTCATAAGTAGAACACTTTTCAGAGTCCAGTGATCCAGAGATTCTGTAAGTGGAACACCTCCCAAATGGAACACATTTTAGAGTACCAAAGGTGTTCTACTTAACAGCATTTACTGCATTCTTTAAAACGGCCCCTTTAAAACAACTGCATTTTATTTTAATGATCTTAATATAATTGTAAATTATAATAAACTACAGTATTTTTGTTGGAAAGTATTTTAATGTAGTGATTTTAAAAGAATCGTCAACTATTTCAGCCTCCAATATTCCAGCTAGGAATATACATATATGGAAACTCAAATGCGAATTGTTTTTGTGTTTATCATTCAAGAAGATGCTAATTGTGGAATGCCAGGACATCATACAAAGAACACATACATTTCAGGTCACAGACATTATGTTATTGGTCATTGCACTTTCTTTATGTAATTGTTCTTTTAAACCTATCTTATATAGGAAAACATCAAATGAAATAGACATCAATGTTTCCAATATGCAAAAAGTAAACTTATGGACACTTAGAAGTAGCAAAGTATTACTAAATGTTTTTTGTTATGTTGTCCCTAAGGACTCGGGAATTTAGAAGTAAAGCCTTATATATGTGAAGACTCATCTTGCTTTCTATCTATCTGATATGGTTTTCATATTATAACCACAATCATATTTCATATACATATGTACATCCATACATATCCTCAATAGAACAATACTAAAACCAGAATATTGAATTTATAGATTGGCATACAGTAAAACCAGTCTAATCTGAACTCTACCGGGTCAAAAGTGTTCAGATTGGCAGGTGTTCATATTTCAAGGTTTCATAGCATATGGGCCAATGGGAGGTAACAAAATTAGGCTGAGAAAATGTGTTCATGATGAGAGGTGTTCAGACTACAGAGGTGTTTGGATTAGAGAGGTGTTCAGATTAGAGCAGTATTTGGTTAACAGATGTATCCAGCTTAGATAGGGGTGTTCAGATAAGAGAGTTGTTCGGATTAGAGAGTTGTTCGGATTAGAGAGTTGTTCCGATTAGAGAGTTGTTCCAATTAGAGAGTTGTTCAGTAAGAGAGTTGTTCAGATAAGAGATGTTCAGATTAGAGAGGTATTTGGATTAGAGAGGTATTAGGATTAGAGAGGTATTTGGATTAGAGAGGTATTCGGAATAGAGAGATGTTCAAACTAAAGAGATATTCGAATTAGAGAGTTGTTCAGATTAGAGAGGTGTTCAGATAGACAGGTTTTACTGTATGAGGTGAGATTATATTTAACCTCAGATTACCACTAAGCTCTCTATTTTCTTGGTCCTCATTAATGGTAAGAAAACTTCCATGCATGAGCGCACATTAAGGGCAATTCCACGAATAAACCTAATGATGCGATAGAGTGGAAGACTTTATCGCTTTCGAGCCAATCCATTAACAATAAATGAATATAAGATTCTCTTCTCAAATATGTTACTTCTTTAAGCGATTGACCCAAAATCGACCCTTATATCCCTGTTTGATTATATCGGTCTGTAAAAGTAGTTTTTATCTCTCTTTGACTCACATATTCAGAAAACCTTGAAATGTGAACACCTCCCACTCCAAACACTTTTGGCCTATTCCAGCGGTGATCCAATTAGACATGTTTTACTGTAGCCTTAATTAAGGATGGCGCATTAGCAGCATGTACTATAGAGCAACTTTGTACTTAATTACAAAAAATAGTACAATTGATATTTTTTGCACACATCTACTTACTGGCCATACTACCATTATTTATTCATTGATTCTATTATTCTATCAGATAGATATTAGCTATCCCGAAATGATAGTTCAGTCAATGTGTGATATATTATTTCTCATCTTTTTATCTAACCACCGTAGCCATAGAAGCATAAAAATGTTTAAAAAAGATGGGGATGCATGAATTCAACTCACCCAATATTCTTCTTGACGGTGAAATTTTCCAAAAAATCATAAAAACAGAGTACATAGAGACATTCATGGCCATGGGGCATTCTTGGCCACGGGGCATTCTCGGCCATGAGGCATTCTTGGCCATGGGGCATTCTTGGCCATGGGGCCTTCTTGGCCATGGGGCATTCTTGGCCATGGGGCATTCTTGGCCATGGGGCATTCCCACACGAATCCTTGGCATCAGGTACAAATCTGGGCCTCTTTTCACAGTTTAAGTACCATTATCACAATGTCTAACACCCCCTTCCCTTTAAAGTTTAAGTACCATTTTATCACAATTCACTACTCCATCTCCCCTATCCACCCCTGCCAATAGGAGATGGGTACCATTGGGGGAAATACAAAGCTGTACAAGGATTAATTTTCCTAATGCTCATCTTAATGGTATTCAGTCGATGAATAAAGACGTTTACTATGAAATAACTGGAAATACATGGATTATAAAGCAAGATAACTACTAAGATGACCTTCTCAAAATGGCAAATCTACCATAAAACCCAAACAGAGATACAATAAAACCTGTCTAATCCAAATGCAAAAGGGACTGAGTCAAACGTGTTCAGATTAGCAGGTATTCACATTTCAAGGTTTTTCTAATAGGTGAACAAATGGGAAAATTTGAGACTCAGAAAAAGTGTTCACATAGAGAGGTGTTCATATTAGAGAATTGTTCAGATCGGTGACGTGCTCAGATATACAGGTTTAACTGTAGCCCTTTTAGACTAAGAATGAACCCCTATGAAATTATATATTATATCAAGGCTGTATTACAGTAAAACCAAACACCACTAGGACCAGCCAAAAGTGTCCAGATTAGCAGGTGTTCACATTTCACATTTTGTAATATGCGAGTAAATAGGAGGAAAAACTTGAGATTGAGAAAAAGTGTTTACGTTGAGTGATTTCTGGATTAGAGAGGTGTTCGGAAAGAGGTCTCACCGTATGTTTCCAATATTATTCTTTACTTTTTCAATTTTCCTCTCCAGTTTGAAAAAAATGACATCTAATTATGTTCTAGAATCTTCTCAGAGATCCGATGCAATTTGACACTGCTGTTACCAGAGAAATTATCTAATTAACGTTATCATACATGAGACAAAATTAATAGATTTACCAATTGCATTATATGAAAGCAAAAATGAAATAGTCTAGATTTTAAAATTAATTCAGGATTCAGGATATATAAGTTAGTCACATTTCTAAAAAAAACTATTTAAATGTCAAATCTGATTAGCTTTTCATTTGCCTATTATCTGTATTGTAAAACATTTTATTTCTCAGACAGCTTGTTATTTTCATGAGAATATAATTGAGCATATAAGGGCAGAATCAGATCTACCTTTATGAAAAATTGTATCAATTTTAGAAATTTTTTTAGCTCACACCAGTGGGAACCAACAAGGGAGGCCAAATTTCGGGTTTGAGAAAAAACTTCCGTGCTTGAGCTGAAAATAATGTTGGGCCCCTAAAACCAAAAAGTAGGCCCAAATTTTGAGGACCGTTTTCTTTTTGGCCTAAAATAAAAAACAAGGCCTTAAAGGCCTATTAATGACCAACAAAAAGGCACACTTATTGCCCCCCCCCAGATCCGCCAGTGATTCCATGACGTAATTTTTTTCGTAACCTCCATAATGTGCATACATAATGTATCTTATTCAAATAAAACTAAAGATTTCTATATTAATCTGTAGTGCGCAGTTTCTTTGGGAGAATTTACAGATCCTTGCTTTGAATCTTTACAAGACAGTTATCTTGATCTTTTTGATTTAACATTGACATGATATGTTGCTTCTACTGAATAACACCGCTCCTTAATTAATTTAATTTTGCCTTAAATTATATTAAACGAAGTGGACAATCGGTGAATGACAGCAAAATAACAATGTTTAAAGTATCTTCCAGAATGGCTTAATAACAGGAAAATGTCAATTTATAGATAACTACTATCATTTCCATGTTATTATAAAAAACAAAGTACCCACTAAATAATGTATACAACATAGAATAACAATTTTAGATAATTAACCAATAACAAGCCAAAAAAGATGAAATGGCATTTTCAGGGAACAGGCATTTTCAGGAACAGGCATTTCAGGGAACAGGCATTTTCAGGAACAGGCATTTCAGGGAACATGCATTTTTAGGGGACAAGCATTTTCAAGGAATAGGCATTTTCAGGGAACATACATTTTTAGGGAACAGCATTTTCAGGGAACAGGCATTTTCAGGAGACAGGCATTTTCAGGAGACAGGCATTTTCAGAGAATAGGCCATTTTCAGGAGACAGGCATTTTCAGGGAACAGGCATATTCAAGGAACAGGCATTTTCAGGAGACAGGTATTTTCAGGGAACAGGCATTTTCAGGGAACAGGCATTTTCAAGGAACAGGCATTTTCAGGAGACAGGTATTTTCAGGGAACAGGCATTTTCAGGGAACAGGCATTTTCAAGGAACAGGCATTTTCAGGAGACAGGTATTTTCAGGGAATAGGCATTTTTAGGGAACAGGCATTTTCAGGAGACAGGCATTTTCAGGGAATATGCATTTTCAGAGAACAGGCATTTTCAGGAGACAGGTATTTTCAGGGTACAGGCATTTTCAAGGAACAGGCATTTTGAGGGAGCAGGCATTTTCAGGGAACAGGCATTTTCAGGAACAGGCATTTTCAGGGAACAGGCATTTTCAGGGAACAGGCATTTTCAGGGAATGGGCATTTTCAGGTTCCTGAAGAGAGAAAATAAATGTGTATATCTTTTAACCAGATGTAGTTTTAACTCTCAGTTGACAGTTTTGAAAAAAAAGAAAATTCAATCTGAAGATGTGCTTCGCTCAGAAATTGATAAAAAATAGGAATGGTTGAATCAACAAGTTGAAGAGATTCCTGGAAATGGCATTCTTAAGTGATGCCCCAAGTCTGGTCAATTTCTTTTGAGAGTAATTATAAGTATACAGTTGCCTGATTTTCTATTGACGGCCTCATAAAATTGTTTTTTCCACCTATTTTCTTTTGTTTCATATATAGTGTCCTCCAAAGAATTTTCCTCAACTGGGTCTAAAATTCTTATTTTCACAATTCTATTTAAAATTGGTCAAAATATGCCAATTTAATGATTCTCTCATTCTATACTGAGTACTATTTGGTTTTCAGATGGATGCAAGCCTATTATCAAAAATCTTGAGTAGATGCACCGATCACTTGCCTCAATGATTGAGAAATCACTGGCATTGTTTTTATCATTGGGAAGACATTAAATGGTTACTATTAGGACTACATGTAGATATATAAAAGCTATATTGGAAATGTGTATATCCATCCGGTCCTGCTCCCTACACAGCAAATATAATTCGGCGCTGTTCCGGCACCATTCCGGCATTGAAACCTTTCGACACCAAAATTTGGCACCGGACTAGTCAGTCCATTTGGTGCGATATGGCACCGAAATTTGGCACCAAAACAGCGTCGAAAATCACATTGCATTTTGGGGGTATAGATACACTAATATATATTTCCACATGTAAGCTTGAACCTCAGTAGGTACTGTATAGGATACATAAATTTATTAACCCTTTATCCTTACCCTATTCTCTCTTGCTCTGCCCCATCCAGTAACTCCGCACGTTTCATGACACGCACAATCTGCTCCTGCTCATCTTGACTAAGAGACTCTCTACGATTGAATGACTTCATCTCACTGGTATGCACAGACCAACCCGCATTCAACCTGAAAATATGAGACATCATAATTATTTTGTTTGAACATTGGTACCTGTACATAAATTACTTCATTATGAAGCATTTTGATAAAAGCTTCGTAAGGATGGATTTTCGAGATGTACAGGTAAAAAATCTTCAAATATAAAGCTTTTTGTCAAAAAGCTTCATAATGAAGTTGAGTTAAACCCTTCTGCCTGTAAAGGATGCCATCAATAAGTTGTTTTTCGATTTTGATTGCAAATTGATTTAATGGCTTCATTGAATATGATTTCTAAAAACAATCGAAATTTTGCGAAATCAATTAATTCACTTTGAACCAGTTGTTAGAAATATCATCCATTAGAGATCCAAGAAATCTAATACGCTTGGTCAATGCAATATTGCAACAATTAAGCACTTCATAAAATGGCCTTATCTTCTTCCATAGAAATAATATTAGCTAAATAAAAGTTAAAAGGAGTGAAATTGGACATTTAAAGATCTAATAGCAAAGGTTTTGCAAAAATAAATCAATGCAGTGTAAAACAAATGTATGTATAATGAAGAAATAAATATTTAATGAAAAAAATAGATATGTGTTTGTAATATTGGTATTAACTTAAGATTAAAAAGTGTCACTATCTCTTTCATTTTTCAACAAATATAGGCTCATGTGACATATGACGCGGGGCAGTCAATTTTGATCTATCGTAGACCATATCAGTATCAAACTGCCGATATTTCAACCTCGTCTTGCGAGGCCATTTTTATTTGAAACATCTTGAATTTGGTGTCAAAATAAAGCTGGTCACGCCCACTTTCAGAGTTATCAATGAATCATTTACTACGACTACTATATTCATTTAGGAGGCGTGTAAAGTTAACCAATCAGAAAGAGAATTGCTCCATATATGACAGTTCATACATATTCAGTGTTTACTATTGTTTTTCGCGTCATGACAACACGAGTAGTAACCAATCAAAATGCCGTATTTTATCACGTGAGTTCAGAGTGACATGCACGACATGTAAGTTTAGTCTGAGCTGATCGCGATGTTGAACAATTTCTTCTCGGAATTTGTCCAGAGAAATCAGCGATTCTAAATTAAGGTAGGATCTCCCATTTCTTCCTGTTCAAGTTTTAACTTATCTCTATCGAATCCTAAAGTTTTGGATGAAGATATGAAGCATACGTTTAAAAACGAAGCGATTAATTTGACGATCTGATTTTGCAATTTGCAATGGCCAATTTACTGCAAGTCTGCGTGTATTTGACAAGAGATAGCGCCAAGTCTTGTATCCGAATGCTTGTTAAGCCACTCAAAAACAAGATCCATATTTTCTAAATTTGATAACTTTGCAGAGAGTCCGTTTTCATAACCTGTTTTCCGCGTCTAAATTCAAACTGAGTAGGATTATAGGATCGCTGGGATTCTCAGTCAATGGCAACGGGTCTTCATTCCAGAAAGCACATTTTTTTAGTTGATTCTCCGTCATAGTACTTGTCTAAAGTCCATATCTGCTCTTTTACTGGCATACTTGGACATATTTCCCCTCCTTAAATTGTCCTCCTTAAATAACACCCTCTCGCCGATTTATATATAGCAATTTCCCAGAACCCGGGAGTCAGAATCGCTGATGTTTGCCATATTGAACATGTTGAAATATGTACTGTAATATCTGTAATACTAGGCATTGCCTGCTACGCGTAAGGGTCACGTGACTAGCGCGATACAGGAAAAATGGGGAATTTCGAAACAACAATTTTTGGGCACTTTTATTGCAAATTTCAGGTATTTATAAGTGTTTGTGGTATAAAATATAATCCACAGACATAAATGAACATCCAAACTACATATTTTATTACGTTTTGGAGCCTTTTTTTGCTTTTAAAATGACATCTTTAATTCAAAGTAGCAAATATGCTGGCACTTTCAATTATTGGGGTTATAACAACTAGTGTCAGCATAGAGCCTCAAATTCAATAATAAGTGTACTTTATGCAGACTGTGGTTATCATTTTGTAAGTTGCTATTTTAGCATCAGTCACATTTGCTCCAGATATGTCAGCAATAGCTTCACAAATTCAATAGAAAAAATCTACACCATCTTTTTATTTTATTCTGAATGTTTCTCTTGATTTCGGGAAGCTACGGCCACCAATAAGGCCCGTAGCCAGGATTTGCCAAGGGGGATTTCAGTTTTCAAAAATTTCCAGGGGGTTCACATTTGACAATTTTGGCCCAAATATGGCTATAATCACTTGAGAAGTGCTCAAAATGGTGTGAAACTGATGATTTTGAAATAATTTTTAGCCAGGGGGGGTTTGCCCGAACCCTGCGAACCCCCCCTGGCTACAGGCCTGAGCCACCAATGGCCACTGTACGGTTGCCGTAGATTGAGACATATGTTACTATAGAAACCTAAAAGTCCATATGAAATGACAGTAAATAAAAACTATTACAAGTGGGTGTGTTACAATAACTCACCCGTGTGGGCTAATACTGATAATGATCAATATCCGAATCCTGGATCAATTAAGTTTCAAGTAAATTAAGTTAATCAACACAACTCAGCTCTGAGGTTGGTGTTAATTGTTTTTCCACTTTTACTCATGTACTATAGTTTGATTTCGTTTAATTTCAAAATTCATTTAAATATCTATTGTCAGTCTCAGCAATATCAGAGGACAAACAATAATTGAATCTGCGAAACACATCTCTAATGTTTTTAAATTGTACGCATTTGTGGTATGTACATGTATTCTTCAAACAACTAGTACAGTAAAACCTGTATATCTGAACACCTCAGAGTCTCTTATCTGAACACCTGTGTCTCTATGTGAACACTTTTTGTTCGTCATAATTTTGCAATCTCCCATTCATTGACAATTAAACCTTAAAATGTGAACAACAGCTAATTTGAACAATTTTGGCTGGTTCCAACTTAAGAGTTTGGATTAACAGGTGTTACTGTACAGTTGTGAAGTTATAATCTATTTACCACAAATGCAGACAATTAAAAACATCTGCTCACTATGACCATTCAATGGATTTGTTGTCAATATCGTAACACAACTACCCTACTAGACAATTGTTTGAATCGTTCATAGGAATTGAATTAAAAATATGATTCATGCTGTCTTCATTTCAAATTCAGAAGAGTTAATGAGATGGTGTATTTAGAAAGGACTAAACTAGCTATAGACAATTGTAAAACAAGAGCCACTAAATGAATTGCCATCTAGCAGGAAAAGACAATATATAGCTGGCAGATACACCCCCGCCATAAGTTTGGTAAATGAAAGTTCCCCTCTGGATCCTGTGTATCAAAACTTTTTTATGTTTCGAATTTGGCAAAAAGTCATCAAAAGTAATAATTTAAACTCACAAAAATATACATTCAAACATTTACATATTTTTACATGCTGTCAAATGAACGCTTTCAGTTGCCACACTTATGGAGGGGGGTGTAAGTGTAAACTGTACATACCTTGCACGCAGGGCAAGTTGGCGGTCATTCGGACAAACCCAGCTATCCATCGTCGACCTCGTCTGTACGCCTAATTCACCCATATATCCCGTTAATTACTACGTACAGTGTATCATTAATCAAAGTATCACACTCTTGATATCCAGGCTATTAATCCAAACATATTTTTGTCGAATATTTCAGCATAAATAATCCATGTAATGTTCAATTAGCAAATTAATGTTCGATGTAATCCACAAATTAGTTTTCAAAATAATCCACAAAAGTGTTCAATATAATCCACAAATTAATGTTATAATCCACAAATGTGGTCAATATAGAATTTCACTCCCGATAGGATATAATCATTCAAAACTTCATCTAATACAGATACAGTATTTATATAGAGAGATGAATCACATTATAGAAATCTCCAATTCAATATAATAACGCAGCTATCAGTCTGGCCTCTTTATGATAAATGTTGCGTTTGTTTAATTATCCGTCCATTCAATATTTAGGTAAACACATATATACCTGTGAATAATCATATAATATATTGATATGTTGGTAAACTTATATCTGTATCAATATCATGTATGCAGTGTCTGTTATTCGGTGAACAGTTATTCATTCAATACATAGCTATATACTAGCTAATACAGGTTGTATTATAGTTGCTTCTATCAATTTGCGATAATGTGTTTTCATAATCCAGTATCCATGGTAAATACTAATGCCTCGTTAGCATTTCTATTACGATATATATGGTTATTAGATCAGTTGACATTTTATTGATATCATCTGAGGTCTTTCTGTTCTGCTCTACTGTGAGATAGGCCTACAGGCAGCTCATTTATAGGATTCTGCCGCGACATCAAAGCGACCTTGGCTGCTGCCGTAATGCCATTGTTTCAGTGCAGTTAGGTTCGATTCTCTACAGTCGCTGTCCAATTAATAAAAGTGATCTACACGGAGCATAGTTTTTAGATTGGGAATTCAGAAATGACTAGAGAATGAGATGCCTCACGGCTTTTAATATTTATTTTTTCTCGATGTAAGAGTTCCTGTTCACTTCCTGTTCTCGAGGTTTATATTATAAATTGATTAATGAAATATTACGTGAACAATTTTTACCTGTTGTTAATTACCCCCACAGACTGACTGGATGCGATAATGTATTGCAAGGGGTAGTTTTTTAACCTTTTGTGAAATTTTTGCCCCTCAGCCTATCACGCAATTTTTTCATCTTCTATCATGTATTCTTCATCTTTTAACATGTATTCTTCATCTTTTAACATGCATTCTTCATTTTAAACATGTATTCTTCATCTCATCATTTAACATGTATTCTTCATATAATCATTTAACATGTATTCTTCATATGAACATGTACTCTTCATCTTTTAACATTTATTCTTCATCTTCAACATGTATTCTTTCTCTCATCATTTAACATCTTCATCTCATCATTTAACATGTATTCGTCATCTAATGTATTCTTCTATGTTTCTTTTAGGTCTTAATCATTGACTGCTGCTGTATTTCATACACCTAGACCACACCTGAAAATACAAAAGAAAAATTTTAAGAATGAGTCCAGGGATATGTTACATTTGTTATAGTTACTCAGACTTTGTTTGTTTGTTGCCTGGACAGTCTTCAAATCCTACACATTTTTTGCAGACAGATGACGTGCTATTGTGATGAATGTTAGTGACTTTTTATTCAAAACCTGACTCAGACAATAAATAACATCATATTAAAAAATGGATATCACAATGTCTAACCCTAAATACTGCTTTGTTGGCAGGGCAACCATAAACCAAATGACATAACATGAAAGGACAACTCTAATCTACTATTCAGTTGAATTATTTTTTTCTTACCAGCATGTTGTGTAGAACTGTAAAATGTAAAGTGCTAATTGTTAGAAAAAGTAAAAAAAAATCACAAGGGAACAAACCCCAAATATCCCAATCAATGATTTAACATAAATTTGTTAAACATCCAAGACCCTCTCCCTTTAACCATTTAGGAATACATATCACATTTAAAAAATATTCTTCCCAATAAAAGATTCCTTGGTCTATTTAATATACAGTGAAACCTGTATATCTGAACACCTCTCTAATTTGAACACCTCTCAATGTGAACACCTCTCAATGTGAACACTTTATCTCAGTCCCAAATTTGTTATCTCAGTCCCAAATTTGTTATCTCCAATTGACTCATATTTTAAATCAAACTTGTAAAGTGAACACCTACTAATCTGAACACTTATGGGCAATCCTAGTACCATTTGGATTTGATGGGTTTTCTGAAAACCGCTATTAAATGTCACAACAAGGCATTAACATGCAAAATGTCACCACCTGTCATTTGTTACAGACACCAAACACCAAATGCCAAACACCAACCAACCGCCACCATAAAAAAGCTGGAGACTTCTTGCAAGTGATATCCACCATAAAAACTTATACATTGTAAACATGGGAATAATCTCTATATTTAAAACAATTAGGGATCTTGCATCAATGCAAACCTAATATGCTTATCGTATTAGTACAAACCCATCATAAATGTCAGGGAAATTGCCTCAATTGTAGTATATACAAATACAACAAAAAACGCTATTAATATAAATCAATTGAAATCTAATTCTCTGAGGGTTTACTGATTCAAGGTCCTTTCATGCATGGCCTGCATATGAGATCGATGTATGGGCATACTCAACATTCTGTGTTAATGAATAGTGTATTCCTATAGGGGTTAATCTCCACTGACCGACAAGGGAATTCAAGAGCAAATTCCGTCACATTAGACTTATGGATTTATCAATGGGAATATAATGAAACGTGTTCATCCGAACAACTCTCTAATCTGAAACTCTCAATGGAAATGCAGTAAAACATTTTCATCCAAACAACTCTCTAATCTGGCCAACCCTCTAATCCCAGCTCCAGTAGTGTCCAGATAAGACAGGTTTTATATTAACCTTTTGTTATTGTGAGAGATTTTAGCATTAAGTCCTGCATCTACAAATGTCTGTAACCCCTTTCCATCTGCACCCCGCTTCCCTCTATTTATAAGTCTCTAGTACCCCCCCCCCCAATCTACAAGCTGCAAGTCTCTACCCACCATCTAATATATATATAATATATATTCTCTGGATCCATATCTACTTCACTTCTCTGGAGATGAGTTATATAGGAGTGAGAGTCACAAGGGCTGAAATGAGATTTACTCATTACTTCATTGAAGAGAATAAAAAATTGAATTTGTTAAGTAATCGAAGTAAGTCTTTCTTTGAGTCTCATGGCAGGGGTGGATCTGGAAACTAACAAGGGGGGGGGCCCAAATTTCAAGTCTGAAAGATTCTCTCAGGGCTTATAAGTAGGAAAAATGTTGGGCCCTTAAAACTAAAAATTGGGTCCTAAAGATTTTTTCTGCCCCCCCCCCTCACACTGGAATCTTCTCCTTTATTTACTCCTGAAGAGGTATGTGGGGAGGGAGCCACAAGGGCTTAAAGCAAGATCTGTACCCTGAGTTTACTTCCTTTAAATCATATACAGTATATCCTTCCATCCTAATCGGCTTAATCATATTCCATGTACAGTAAAATCTGTCTAATCCAAATGCCATTGGGACCTAAGCCAGTTTCATGTCTTCATTAGAAGTTGCTCTAATTTCAAGAGTTTCTTAATAATTCAGTCAATAAAAGATCATAACAAAATTAGGACTGCATTCACTGAAAATCACTCAGTGAGAATTTTTTTTATTAATATCTTTGTGTAAAAATCTGTAAAATTTGTTTTATGAGGGAAAAATTGTCATGAAAAATCTCATGTAGTTTTATATTGGAAACTGAGAACAATGAACTAGTATGGATCAATCTAAGTCACTACAAGATGGTAAAGATGGTATATAGAGAGATGGAACTATCTCATGTAGTTTTACATTGGAAACTGAGAACAATGGACTTATATGAGTATCTTCCACATAGACGTGATGGAAACAAAACAAGCTGTAATTGATAGGAGTAAAAGATCAATGAACGATCAATCCTGCATATAATATAAGGCCATACATATGTTTATCTATAATATTGGTATTACTGGCCCGTAGCCAGGGGGGTTGGATGGGTTCAAGCGAATCCCCCCTGGCCAAAAAATATTTCAAAATCATGCAGTTTTTCACCATTCTGAGCACTTTTCAAGTGATTTTGGACCAAAATTGTCACAAGTAAACCACCCCCTGGAATTTTTCAAAAAGTGACCCCCCCATTGGCAAATCCTGGCTACATGCCTGTATTATGATGAAGTAAATGTTTACAGCTGCTTACAATTATTAGTCTGGAAGAAAATACCAATAAAATTGCAGTAAATATCAAGAAAGGGGCTTAAGTAATAAATTAATATTTGAGAGCGAATTAATTTGTATTTTCTAAACCCTTGAAATCGATATTTTTTACAGACCCCTACTGAAAATCTGTTGTTATGTTTAAAATACAACTCGAAAACCTTCAAGCAAATAGAGTTTGATTCTACTCTTACAAGTAGCTGAATGTGCCAGCTCTGTTACATAACTTCTCATGCAATAACAGGGACAGTTCCTTCCAAGGTTGGAAACTCACAGCCTGACAGCCAATGTTAAAAAGCAAAGGAATGAAATCACTTGTCACTCTAAGCAATCGACTGAAAAAACTATTGGGCAATGAACTGATATAAGTTAAATTAGGCAGTCTTGTTTTCAACACTTGTTGTGAAATCCTTGAACCTTTCAAACAGAGAAATTCCTTGACATTTCCCTGGCATTTCCAGGCAAAAATACTCATTTCCATAATTGTACTTTCATTATCAATAAACTAATATGATGATTAAGTACTTGTTGCACTCTTTGACTTAGATTCTTAAAAGATAGCTTCATCTGTACTTTTTAAGTTTAAGACAATTCCCTCTAATCCTGCTTAACTCTTTCTTTGCGGAATTCTTTCATTTTTCACTCTCCAGTTTGCGGAATTAATTTTGATAATTTTGGAAAAATCATACATACAACCTTTAAATGGCTGTAAATCAGTAGTTATTTCATATTTTCCTTTGAAATTTTCACAACACCTAGATAACAGTATGTTCTAACAGTACAATGTAGTTTGATGCATTTTGTAGTATGTATTCAAGGTAAAATTAACATTGTTTGGACTTAAGAATAAAGATGCAAGGTAAATTCAGATTTGTCATAACTTCATGAATATACATATTAACCATAGGACTAAGTGGCAGCATCAAAACGAGCATATTATTCAAATAAATGTTCACTGGCTGTAGCATACATGATGTTTTCCCATTACTCTATAGTTTGATGCATCAATGAACAAGTTTTCATGATTGGATTAACATTGTTTGTACTAGAAATAAAAATGAATAAATACAATGCTTTCAAAATAAAAATGTTAATGTTGGATGCTTTTGAAATTGCATCATTACTTCTGTCAGTATATTGTAAGCCTCAAAATAGTTCAAGAAATGTTCACTAACTGTAGATAACAGTATACAATGGTATATTACTCAAGAACATAATTGAACCAGAAAGCCTGGTTCAATAAACATGGTTCGACTTCGAATCAAAATGGATAAACATGGTTTGTACCAAAACATAAAAGGCACAATCATAATCATGAAACTAATTCACAAACAGTTTTTGTAATGCTAAGTTCCACAGTTTGAAGTAACAAATCAATTTTGGTTGTAAATTAACCTGTTCACATGTGGAATGTAGTCCTTTTGGGTGTGGTAAAGTTCGTGACAAACAACTGCATGCATTGGCAGTAGACAGGTTTTACAGTAGGTATTTGTTTGTGACCTTTTCCAGCCTGGCCTTGTTTTGCTACTGCACACTTTACAATCAGGTTTGTATTTTGGGTCATCATAACGACCAACAAAATGTCTCTCCGTGAGACGGGCTGGGGGTGGTACAGATGGTCTCCGACCACGTGGAACGATTGGTGCCATGTTTACATCCTGGAGCAGCCCTTCAATGATGTCATGGCGGAAAGCCTTGCTGTCCATTGGCTTGACATCAGGGGGTAAAGATGCACAATAACACACATAGGCATTTACACAGGCAGTCTGCTGAAGCCTGAGATAGACTGGCTGGTACCACTTGTAGCTCTTATGAGGGTATTTGTATGTACCGCATAGTTGGTCATATTTATCAACTCCGCCCATGTTCTGGTTATAGTCCTCAATAAGAGCTGGTTTTTGAACAGTTCTTTGACCATTAGGTGCTTGCCTATCTCTTATCTGTTTTTCAATGATTTCATTAGTATGAACAGTAGAGAATCCAGAAAAGCGCTTAGTATCATGCCATGAAAATACTACAGAGTTGGACTCCTCATCCCTCATAAAGACTGCGTTATCGCCCTTATTCAAATGGAGATTTTGGGGGGTTATTTCAGGGGGCATGTGTTTGCGTGTTGACTTGACAGTGCCACACACACCAGTTCCATGAAGTTTCAATGCTCTGCCTAAGTTTGGCGAATTGTAGAAATTGTCTACATATATGATATGGTTGCGGTTAAAAACAGGTTCCGCTAAATTCAGCACCACTTTCTCCGTCATTGTATAAGGTTCATAAAGTTCATTTGGAATGTCAACATTAAATGTATCTTTTCCAGTATACATTGTGTGGTTTAGAAGGTAACCAGTTTTGGAGTCATTCATACAGAATTCTTTCATACCCCACTTAGTGGGTTTTAGGGGTAAGTACTGGCGGAAATGAATACGACCCCTGAATCCAATCATGCTTTCGTCTATGGACAAAGCTCTACCAGGTTGAAATGTGTCCAGGTAAATGGGATTCACTATGTCAAGTAGAGGCCTTATTTTAAATAGAGGGTCATAGCCTGGCTGGTTACGTTGTATTAGGTTTTCATTGTTACTGAAATGCATGAATCTTCGCAGCAACAAATAACGATCTCTGGACATGACCCGACGAAAGTTTGGTATATCAGTCAGCCAACGACCTGTGGTCCAATAATCAACTTCAGCTGGCATACTCAGCAATCCCATGCTTAACTGTAAAGCAGTGAATTTTAAGATTTCCTCTGGATTTGTTTCTGTCCAGTCTCTAAATCTTGACCTTGGTGGCAGATTTTCAAACACATCTGGTCCATCAAAATAAGAGAATGCGTAGTTGTTAGTCTCATCAGATATCAACTGAACTAAATTATCTGGCCAGAAGATTTTGAAGTAATCAACTGGCTCAAAGTCCCCTGTATCTACCAGCACACCTCTCCTAGCAGGTGGATTGAAATCTCCGATCCAGGCAACATCATCTGGTTGCATATTATCATACAACTGCCAGTCCCAATCATATGCGTTACGAACTGCACCAGCAACAGGAGCTTCAGCTTGAGGGGGTATAATGGGTTGAGCTTGCCCTGAAAATAAAAATTTCCTTGATCATTGTAGGCTACACTAACTATTTTATTCAGAATATGGTACATGTATGTCAAATGTTGTGAAAAAACATACACTTTGGGACAGAAGCAATAGCACAACCAATAATTTTACTTTCATTTCAAGAAAAATTGTATAAATACCTAGATTAGCCCCTGGTATTCCATCTAAATTGGGCTGGATGCGATCTTCATCAAACTGATCATCATCATTGAAAAATTCATTTTCAGAATCACTGTTATTGTCACTCTCAGAGTCCGCAAAGAGCGCATCAATAGTATCATCATCTAGCCTAAACCTCCTGGCGGCCATTTTTAAATGTCTCACATCAATTAACAGGTTCAAATGGCCATAACATTAGAAATAATAAGTATTTTTCGGAAATTCTTTCGTATTTTTCAAAGTTGATATATCCCATAATAATAAAACTTGGGAATCTGGCGAAGTACATACTGGCGTGACATCTATTTAATTTTGAAAAAGTTATTTACAATTTTCGACTTTAGTCGAAGTTCGCCAGCTCCCGGTAATGCGACAAAAGTCGAAAAACGCAAAGAAAGAGTTAAGCCAACCAGAGTGTGTCATCACCAACCGAGAAAACTGTTTTTCTCTAGCTATTAGGTGACATTAAAGTTAATCAAAAGTACAAAAACATGGCAGCCATATTTTTTTGATAAAAGCTAGTATGAAGAGTGGGAACTGAGGCTATTTTTTAATTTCCAAAATCCAAAATTCATAGTTATGAAAAATCCATTTATGTGTGATGTTAACTTTGTCAAGATCAATTCATATACAAGGTAAACAGATTTTAAAAACATGTGTTTTTATCCAAAAAATATTGCAGTCATTTTTTGTACTTTTGATTTAATTTAGCTTCGCCTTAAGAGGTTTTTAGAACTAAACTAGAACTAAAACATCATCCCCAACCCAAATTACATACACAGACCACATAGACATTCTGCCTTTATGAGTTGCTATTTTACCAGCAGGATGCCATTATTATTACAACACAGACAAGTAACAATACGCTTTTGATGTGAAAATTACCCTTTTCTGATTAGACACTAAATCCTGAAAAATTACCTCATTTATAAAATTGATTTGACGCCTGATTCTGACGTAGCAGATGCCGACTCTGAGCAGGGTTCGAAACTCAAAACCTTCCCGACTGCCAATATTAGTAGCAATTTATGAACTTGGGAAAATGAGTTGCCTATTGGGGATTAAGACTGAATGCCTATATATGTTAAATTTTTGTGGTAATCATTTTTTCAATCTAAACTGTGAATCATGACTTTTGGAACATTACTCAGTAGTATAGACACCTTATATAGTCACGCATATGTTCTACAATGATACCTGTTACAAATTAGGTTAAAATTGCATCTTCATAGCTTTTTTGCCAAAATGCTTAAAATTGAAATTATCGCAAATTCAACTCCCAGCTGATGGATTAACCTACAATATCATGGCCAACTCATTTAAATATGAATAGAACCAGCCACCATTTCATTATAATATTCAAATGAGTTGGCCATAAAAAGTAGGTTGAACCATCAGCCGGCAGTTGAGTTCACGAATGCTACCTGAGAAAGTTGTTTACCTGTATATGGAATTATAAAATAACTTTGCAGTAAAAATGATGGCCCTGTGAACATAGAGATCCTGTTCTATACTGTATTTGTGGATGTTTTGAAATACTTATTAAAGTGTGACATTTTAGAAGTATAAGAGTTCAGTAAACAGGCGTGTACTTTAGCACTAAATCCTATAGAAATTCTATGAGAAACGCAAGAAAATCAAAAACTTCATTTATAATTTACAGAGAAATAATGTAAACAAGCCAATGTCATTGTGACATTTTCATATCCTGTCTGCAGTGATCAATCGGTTTTCTATTCATGATGAAACTGATACTCAATATTTCTCTGAAACATTATCTCAAAATCGTTATCTGGGATCCCGTTCTGATGTTGAACAATGATATTCCAAAATTCCCTACCATTATTAAATTTCATAATGTCGAGAGCAAGTTCAGGTTTCTTTTCTCATACAACTTTAAAAAGTGTCTTATCCGAATGCCAACGGAGCCAGTCAAAAGTCTTCAGATTAGCAGGTGTTCACATTTCAAGGTTTCTGACTATGTGAGGCAATGGGAGATAACAGAATCGGGACCGAGAGAGTGTTCATATCTGGAGGTGCTGGGATTATAGGGGTGCTGGGATTATAGGGATGCTTGAATGAATTAAAGGGGTGTTCAGCTGAATAAGAGGGGAGTTTAGGTGAATTAGAGGGGTGTTTGGATGAATTAGAGTGATGTTTGGATGAATTAGAGGGGTGTTTGGGTGAATAAGAGTGATGTTTGGGTGAATAAGAGAGATGTTTGAATGAATTAGAGGGTTGTTTGGATGAATTAGAGGCGTGTTTAGATGAATTAGAGCATTGTTTGGATCAATTAGAGGGTTGTTCATATCAACAGGTTTTACTATAGTTAATACAATTTTATCAGTTTTTCAATGTAAATTGTGTTTTCACATGTTTCCATTTGTGGTACTTGATCAAAGGAAGCTATTGGCTTCATCAAAGAAGCATTCAAGATAAAAGAAGCCAATAAAACTAAACAATTGGACTGAAGGGGAATCCAGTAAATGTCAACCAGCGCTAGAATGCCACTTGTTAAGGGTAATGTTGAATTAGAGGGGTGTTCAGCTGAACTAGAGGGGTGTTTGGATGAATTAGAGGGGTGTTCAGCTGAACTAGAGGGGTGTTTGGATGAATTAGAGGGGTGTTCATATGAACAGGTTTTACTATATTTGAATATAATTTTATCAGTTTTTCGATGTAAATTGTGTTTTCACATGTTTCCATATGTGGTACTTGATCAAAGGAAGCTATTGGCTTCATCAAAGAAGCATTCAAGATAAAAGAAGCCAATAAAACTAAACAATTGGACTGAAGTAGAATCCAGTAAATGTCAACCAGCACTAGAATGCCACTTGTTAAAGGTAATGTTTCTCAAGACGATCAATTTGGTAATAAAAGATGCAACTGCAATTATAAGACTTGAAGAGATATAGGAATGATCTTTGAGGTGGCTTTCATTGAAAATGTTTGAATATAAAACAGAATTTGATGACACACATCAACCACATAACTGGTAGTATTACCAACTGCTTACCATTTAATCAAATTGACTATTTTCTTTTTTATCATTCTATGAACTTTTGTTGAAGATTTACGATTTGAACAAATCCATCAGGGATTTTTTTCTGGAATCTCTCAACAAATGAGAAAATATCATACAAATTCTATCTCTCAAAACCTATGCTGATATTATGGAGATGAGAGTGATATTTTTCAAAAAATCATTTAATTATCAGGCCGGTATACAGCTGATATCATTTATTGTTATTATAAGCAATTGAATAAGATATAGCAGAATAAAAAATAAATTGTCACAGTTTTTCTTTAAGAAAATAAAAAAATTCCACATCTTAATTCTATTTTATGGCAAATTCATGTCAGCTGGATTGACATTTAGGCCTTTGGGCAATTGTGATAAAATTGAAATAACTTTTTCAAATTGAGCAAAGGAAAGCAAGAAGAGATATTTCGAATGAAACATAACTTAACATTGCAGGATCATGATATTCTATTTTTCTAAAAGTCAGGTTATGAAATTCTCATTTTTCATAATTGGGGTCTACGCTGTTAACCATGTCATATATTTCTATGGGATGCTAGCTACATTACACAATGATCACATCACGGTAAGATATAAATGATAAAATGATCGAGACACATATTTTTGTATTGAATAAAGTGTCACTACCTGCCATTTGTTACAGACATTGAACTCTCAACACCGGATAAAGAACACTGAATGCCAACCGCCGAACACCATCCACAAAAAAATTTGAGACTATACTTTGAGGTGTTCACATTAGAGAGGTATTCAGTTAAACAGATTTTACCGTACAATTATCATTACAAATGGGACGCTCTGTAATCCAAATTAATAACATAATACTTAAATCATATATTTCCAGGACAAAGGCATGGAAACAGGAACTAAAAATTCTGTTGATGTAAATGTTCTAGACGCAATTATGAAGCAGCGTCAACTTGACGTTCTAGAAGCATGTGGAAGTCTTAGTCACCAAGACAGGGAGTCCATAGCATCCTCAAAGAATATAGTTGTTAACAGACAGCTTGGGATCTTGTTCTGCCTGGTGCCGAAGGTTGCATCAACAACATGGACGACAATTTTGTTAGCTCTGGCAAAGGATGTACCCATATCATCAATTGACTCAGAGATGCAGTGGCAACAATGGCGAAAGTATTTTAAACCATTAAACAAGTTACCAAGATATGAACAAACTAAAATTTTGAAAAACTTTTATAAGTTTATGTTCGTTCGCGACCCGATTAGCCGGCTAAGGTCAGCTTGGAAAAGTAAAATGACGGGAAACCAACCATATTTTGAGGAGTATTATGGAAAGTTTATCCGAAATATGTATCGAGGTAATACATCTGAGGAGAAACAAAACAATAGCAATGGTGTAACTTTTCATGAATTTGCTCAATACGTTGTTGATATACCTGAAATATCTGTGGCAGATCCACATTGGCGGCCAATTCTGAACTTATGTAACCCTTGCCATATTCCCTATGACACAATCGGCAATTTTAATGATCTTGAACATGAGGGTGGATATGTACTACATAAACTTGGAACAAATATGACCTTTCCAAGGAAAGAAGAACTATGGAATCACAAGGAGTTCCAAAATACAAATACGCAAAAACAGAATCAAAGGTCAAAAACACATGTGCCCAAGGAAGTGATTGGTGCACCAGTGAATGCTGAGAATGGTGGAGAATCATTACTTGAGTACTCATCTAATCCTCTCATGAGTAGCTTACTCAAACAATATTCAGCAGATGTTCATCTATTTTCCAAAATATACAATTAGAATTATATTTACTGTATTAGTTACATCGGGTATAAGGCACCTGGGTAAACTGATGATAGGTTTTATTATATTCAAACCAAAGGTATTTGTGTGAAAATCACAAATATCATATTGTCTTTTCAGCTTGTTTTTTGCAATAAAAAGGCACCCAGGGTACCTGAGGAATGGGGCCTCCAATTAATTTATCATTATCACCCAAATTGGGAATTTTCTTGTATCTTCAAATCAAAAGGTATTTTTAACAAGATAATAAGCAAGTGTTATATCATGTTTCACATTAGTGCCTCCAAATATTGATCAAAAATACAAAATAGCAACACAAAATGCTAACCTAAAAGAGAGCTTCATCTGTACTCTTACAATGACAGATAACCCTTTTGATCTTGCCTTAATTAATCATTAATGTTGATTTATTTTTACAAACTCTCAAGCAAGGCTATGAAAGCTTGTTTTGGCTCATGGAGACCAACATCAAATCTTTGTCTTATCCAGATGTTAGTAATTTCTACTAGTCTCTGGCATCAGGGTATCATCAAGTATGTTTTGATGTTTTGGTATTTAGTAGAAACCAACTTAGTAAAATAAATAAATCCTTACCTAATTACTATCCCTAGTCAATAGTTTGATTTTGCTTACCTAAAAGAGATCTTCATCTACACTTTTTGAATATACAGGTAATCCTTCGATCTAGCTTGACGCCTTGACACAATCTATATACATGTACTGAGAATATGGTCGATTGTTTTATCAAGCTACCCAATCAAATAGCATCACCGAATTTATGCTTTCACAAGCACCTGGCGTTTATTTCATAATAAAATTCTCATTTATGGCTGAGACAGCTTCTTTTGGGATCATAAGAATCTATATCAGCATCAAAACTGCATATTTATTTCTCCTTGCAAAAATCTAGTGTAATATGCTGGACAATCATGATATCATCTCTAACCAACCATTCTGAGTTTTCTTCAGGGATTGTCAATTGCAGATCAATATCAACTCATATTCTGCCAACAGAATCATTTAGGTGCAGAATATCACTTTTATCAAAATTAATTAATTGGTGATAAAAAAGATAATAATGATAAAATTGATAAAGCAACAAAAAACACAAGACTGAAAGAGAAACAATAATTAGCATATTATAGCAATAATATGATAAATTCAATAATAGCAATATATTGCATCGAAAAGCGACATTCCACACCAAGGTCAACAAAATGGACAAAAATGGCAAAAACGGCAAAAACAAACACATTATAGTTATAGCCTCTATTTGTTTCAGTTGAATCAGTTCTATTTCTGCTCTTTGATGATCTCCTAAAAACCACTCTAAAATAAAGGGATTTACTTTGTTAATGGAACACTTAGCTTATGTTACCATTTGGACTGGCTTTTATTGCAGCGTGATAATGATATTTTTCTTGATTATTCCAACCTGGAAAGCTTTGACCAAATATGGTATGATTAAATAAGGGAGAAGATAGCACTCTGTAAGGGACTTCTCCAGGGGATAATATATCTTTTATCTTTGTAATAAAATTGTCTGTTTCAATAGAACCCCTAAAGACCATTAAGTCGCTTTATATAATCTTAAGAGAAGGCTTATCTGAAAATGCTATGAGACATTGTCTATTTGGAAACCTAACGCTTGACAAGTTAATAATATGAGAGCTGTGGAATAAGGGTACAATGGTAAGATGACAATATACAGTAAAACTTATATATCTGAACACCTCTCTAATTCGAACAACTCTCTAATCCGAACAACTCTCTAATCTGAACATTTCTCTAATCTGAACACCTCTCTACTCTGAACATCTCTTATCTGAACACCTCTCTAATCTGAACACCTTTCAATGCAAATACAGCAAAATATAACATTGCAGTAAATGTGTGAAGAAAAACATGTTTTATCTTAATGTCACGTGAAGTAGCAAAAAGTGTTCAGATTAGCAGGTATTCACATATCAAGGTTTCTCTATAGGTGAGTCAACGGTAGATGACAAAACTGAGACGAAGAAAGAGTGTTCACATGTTAGAGAGGTGTTCAGGTATACACCCCCAAAATGCAATCTGATGTTCGACACCGTTTCGGTGCCAAATTTCGGAGCTGTTTCGGCACCAAATGGACTGACTAGTCCGGTGGCAAATTTTGGTGTCGAAAGGTTTCGGTGCTGGAATGGTGCGGAAACGGTGCCGGAACAGCGCCAAAATTTTGTCGATGCCGAAACGGCGCCGAATTATATTGGCTGTGTGCAGGTTTTACTGTAGAACTGTAGAAAGGCCTGACAGTTGATATCTTTGTGAAATTCATTAGCAGAAATGATTCCAATTATCTCACTGATATTAGGCCTGAAGCTAATCTCTCGCTGCGTGTCTACAGAGACAAAACTAATGTGTATCTATAAGAAAAACTGTATATTGCTATAACCGTCTTTGATTTCTTTTAGACAAAACTGAATCTTGACGTGTTTGATGGTTTATTGACCTCACCTTGTTCTTAAAATTCATAATACTATGCGTTAACATGTACGGGCATTAACATCAGAAATGACGTCACCTGTTAACCCATAGTATATGTACTTTGTTTAACTTTGTCATTAAGGAATAAATTGAAATCAAAATGAAATAAATTCATATATTATCCATTTATATTAACATTTAAACCTGTCAAACACCACTGGAACAAGCCAAAAGGGTAACAGGTGTTCACATTTCAAAGTTTTCTCAAGAAAGTGTTTACATTAAAAGGTGTTTGGATAAGAGAGATGTTCAGACACAAATTTGACTGTATTATCGATCGAAATGTACAGGTAGCTGATTCTAATCAAATTGAAAAAATTAATGCAAACAAATTGATATATTTGTGTGTATTCCTATTCGTGTGTTTAAATACACTTTAAACTGTAAACAATTGTTCAATTATAAAATACTTCACACTACCCTACCACGTGACCACGTTTAAAAGGGAAACAGGGTACAGCTAAGTTGCAAATGGAGGACGTGGGTTTAATTCCATATTTCTGAACGTAAAATACATTTTACATTTATTTCTAGCATTCTACCAGACATAGAATTGATTCATCGAGCAGTTTGTAGAATATTGTTGGCAAAAAACCACTATAGGCAAAGATAGATAATAGTGGGCGCAGTGAAGCAAAACTCAATGCAATACACGATACATTTCAGTAAATCTATGAACGTACAGGGAGCATGTAAGTTTCCCTTCGAAAATGTTACATTGATATGTAACAAAAAATCCAGTTAACTGTTATTTAAACTGCGTGTCATCGTGTTATATGTGGATACGTTTTCCAGCATGTTATTCAACTGCATTTTTGTGAATTAATTGTTTTTCTAAAATCTTAAGATACAAAAAACGTCGTCCCAGAAATGTATCTTTACTTTGCGGTAAGGCATAACATATTGTGAAACATTTTTCCTCTTGTCACAAAGAGGATAATGTTTGTTTCGAGGTGTCTTGTGATGAGCGTTTCATGATTAAATGCAAAATCACTGGAGCAGATACCACTAAAAACATCTGACATTCAACACGTCATCTAAGACTACATCGATCTGGTATTAGTTTTTTTACAATAATAGAGAAATACGATGTCATATCAGCGCTACAGCAAATCGTGAAGAACAAAATGCTCTCAAGTCGTGGCATGATGGTATTTTGAACAAAATATTTTAAATGATCGGTTTTTGAGAGAATTAGAGAATTAGACCATTCAAGGGGTTATATAAATCTACAAAATAATGTTTACTTTATTTGGATTAAATAACAATTGATGACACCTCAAAGCATCAACAGGCGGCCTTTTTAGCATTATTTTCACTGTTTTCAACGTAAATGTACATGAGATCGGGACATAGTATGTCTGTATAATCAGCTTACTTTCTCGCTCCCTGTACTATTGAGCAATTTACATTCCTTGTACCCTGTATTGATCAACTTTTGCAACTGTGTACCGTGTACTATGACATTTCAAATATTTTAAAATTTAAAACGATATTATTTACATTTTTTCTTCAACTATCATATAACTTGGAACATGGACTTCACTATTGCACCACTGAACATCAGCGAATAGCAATAATGACTCACTCCGAGCACCAAACGTATTAACCTTTTGACTTACCAGTCGAAATACTCAAAAGCGACGTGGTTGAAAGCCAAAATATTTGCACATGCGCTATCGAGGTAGGGTAGTGTGTACTTGTAACCCATTTATAAATTCAAAATTAATGAGATAAATGACAGATACTTGAGTCTAGCTTTGTGTGAAAGAGTAGACAAGGTATGAACATGAGAAAATGTCACTTCTGTAATGAATGGTAAGCTATAGCAAATACAGTAAAACCTGATTTATCCGAATACCAATACAGTAAAACCTGTTTTATCCGAACACCAATTGGACAAACCTGTTTTATCCGAACACCAATTGGACAAACCTGTTTTATCCGAACACCAATTGGACAAACCTGTTTTATCCGAACACAAATTGGACAAACCTGTTTTATCCGAACACCAATTGAACAAACCTGTTTTATCCGAACACCAATTGGACAAACCTGTTTTATCTGAACACCAATTGGACAAACCTGTTTTATCCAAACACCAATTTGACAAGCCATTGTTTGGATTAGTTAG